GGTGTTCCAGGCATGATCGTGTGAGCGCATGGTGTTCCTGGCATGACGGTGTGAGCGCGTGTGTTAATGTATGAGGCAGGGAATGGGTCGACTAGGTCAAAGGGTGGGGTACAAGAGAGTGTCGAGGGAATTGATGTACCCCCTAACATGCAAATCACTATAGGCTAGAATACTAAAATTAATATAACTTTGACACACCCCTATAGCCTAAGTGAGGTGCATGAAAAACGATCAAGGCAAGCAAATGGTCACAAGACCAGTCAAGAGAAGCAAACAAAGCAAAGCCCAGGGTGGATCTTAAGATCACCACTCATTCTGAGCACAAGCAAGTGGCCACAAGGCCAATTCACATGCAGAGTTATAATAGCAAGGCAGTACACTGATCACAGCCTAGCAAAAGTAAAAATGCAGGTATAAATATAGATATCAGTGTACAACAAATGCAAGATCAAGAGACAAGCAGGTGAGTCAGAACGGACAGAAGCCCAAGAGTAGTGCAAAAACGCTGATGATCCCCAGACCCGAGGGCCTTGGTGAAGACATCAGCAGTTTTGGCCCGAGAGGCCCCGTAGGAAAGACGAAGCTGACCACGCTGCTGCAGCTCTCGGCCAAGAACGTAGCGAAGAGCAATGTGCTTCGTTCCGTGCTCCAATCTCTGCTCGTGATACAAGGCCAGCATGGTCTTGTTGTCGACGTACAGAACTGGAGGAGAACGAGGCCGCTCCCCCAAGTCGGTCAGCAGGTAGGTCAGCCAGCGTAGCTCATGTGCAGCCATAGCCCCAGCGTAGATCTTGGCCTCACAGCTGGAACCAAGCACAGAAGAAGAACGAGTGGACCTCCACGAGACAGAGCCAGAGCCAAGACTGAAGGTGTAACCCTGTGGCGAACGCTGATTCACCTGGTCGTCGGCCCAAGAAGCGTCGGAGTGTCCTGTGAGTTCCACTGAACCCTGTCCTCCAAGCACGAGCCCCATGCCCGATGTACTGCACAAGTAACGCAGTACCCTCTTTGCAGCATCCCAGTGCACCTTTCGCCATCTACCGGGAGCCATGTAGCAAGCCAAGAGGCTGAGAGGGTACGCGAGGTCAGGTCTTGTGCACGTCACCAGGTACATGAGGCAACCCACAAGCTCTGGATACGGACCACTCGGCTCTACAGACTTGTCCGAAGGTGGAGCTAAGAGCGAGTGGCCAGTAGGCAGAGGAGTGGGCTGTGGCGAGGAGCACTAGAAGCCGAAGCGTTGAAGGACCTGGTGCACGATGTGTAACTGATTCAGGGTGATGGTGCGCCGTGCTCTGTCCCGATGGATCTGCAAGCCAAGATAGCTCCGCAGCTCACCCAGGTCAGTGCATGTGTGTCTCTCCTGCAACTCTGCCTTCACTAGGGCCAGCCCTCAATGTCAGCAGTAGCAAAAATCAAGTCGTCGACGTACACGAGAACGTAGAACGGTGGCAGAGTAATGTCGGTGCGTAGAAATAGCGTCGGGTCAGCTGTAGAAGGAGCAAACCCAAGAGCCGCAAGTGTCGTCCTCAGTGTGTCGTGCCACTCGCGGGGCGCCGGGCGAAGACCGTAGACTGGCCGCCGGAGGCTCCACTGGGTACCTGCAGGAAATGACCAAGTGAAGCCAGGTGGGCGGCGCAGCCAGATCTCTTCGTGAAGGCTGCCCTGCAAGAAAGCTGTGGACAATTCAAGGGAGTGCAGCTCGTAGTCTTGCTGTGCTGCAACGTACAGCAACACCCGAAGAGTACTCATCTTTGGGGTGGGGGAGAAGGTCTGAAAGAAGTCGACCCCCTGTCACTGACTGAAGCCTGGAGCACCGTAACGTGCCTTGAAAGCAGGCGGAGAACCCGGCGGCCGCTTCACTCTGAAAATCCACATGCCCTCGACTATGTTCGCCCCAGGAGGAGGAACCTTGTCGACGTAAGTGCCCGTGGACTTCCAGGAAGCCATCTCTGCGTCCATGGCTGTCTGCCACTGAGAGGAGTACTCACACGTGATCGCCTCAGCGTAAGAGCGTGGGGTAGGGATGTCAAGTGCATCTGGGTCTCCCTCAGGGCAAAGCAGCATGGATGCGAAACGAGGTAAAGAGGTCGCGAGACACTCAGGCTCAAACTGCCTGTCCTCAAGGACGTCACTGCCAAGGGCAGACTCACCCACGTCGGACGGAGGACAGACAGACTCAGACTCAGTCACAAGACTTGCGACGTAGTTGAGACGACTCCTAGCAGCAAAGTCGGGCAGCTCAGTGACTAGGGCAAACGCAGTAGTGGACTCAAAGCCAGTGTCAGTGACGACAGTAGCGAGGAGACGAGTGACAGTAGGACTGGCAACACGAGTATGGTTGGACTCTGGGTCAGGAACGTCAGGAAGAGAGTGTTTGAATATAAAACGTACTGAATTGACTAAGGAATGACAAAACAAGAAAGATTTAGGAAATGCTAACCCTAACCCAAGCATGAATGTAACACACCTAGACTAACACACATAAAGTATAACAAATATAGTTTGACACACCCCCATAGTCTAGGTGACGGTAGTATTGCGGAAAGCAACACATATCGCAGGGTGGATTACGAAGTCACCACACAATCTGAGAGCAAGGGTCATATGACCAGTCAGCAAGAGCAAGGAAAGGTCACAAGACCGGTCTGCAACAACAAGAATCAAGCAAGGGATGCAAATCAGGGTGGATCACAACGTCTCCACATTGTCTGAGGGCAAACAAGGGGCCACAAGGCCAGTCCACATGCATCGAGATATATATATAGGAAGAGATACAAGAGTACAAGACAAAGCATCTCTACGCAAGCAAGTGAGGGCCTGTAGACACAAGGCCTAGCTGGGTGCAGAAATGCTGGTGGGCACAAGGCGACAACGTCTTGGTGAAGAAATCTGCAGTGTTGGCCTCAGAGACCACACGGACCACGTGGGCCTGGCCACGCTGCTGAAACTCGCGGAGAAGGAAGTAACGAAGCTGGATGCGCTTCGCCTTCCCAACCAGTCGGGGCTCCTCGCACAACAGGTCAGCAGGCCTATTGTCGGCGAACAAGACTGGGGGAGAGCGAGGCCGCTCACCAAGGTCGGTGAGGGCCTCAGATATCAGGAAAAAAACCCTGAAATTCCTGATTTTGGCAGTCCTTTTTTTACCTACACTGAAAAATCAGTGTTGAGATTTTTGTGGGACTGATCTTTCAGCCTTTTTTGTTAGGCCACACTGAAATTTCAGACTTTTTTATGTAAGTACACTGATTCCACAACGTTGTAACGAAACTAACACTGAAACCAATTCTTACTTGTTCCGTGTGGATTTGCCCGCGATTACAGGGAATCTCAGATTCCTGCGGTGCCAGCACTCCATTAGGCAGTTTCGTTCCAGCATAAAACGTTGGCTAATCGGAATGTTGCAACCATGTGGTGCTTGAGGGCTGCGAGGGTTCCTACACCGTTGGCTGTGCTGGCAAGCATTGATGCTCCCATTCCCTCCAATCCAATCTCTCGTGTTACTTTTCCTCCTGTTTCTCTCTCCCTCCCTCTCAGCCTGATTCCTCTCGTGCTTTCTCATCTGCACTAATACATGGCGCCATCAGCACAAGAAACGGCGGGATGTTGGGAATCGAACCCATCGCGAGCGCCACCGAACCTCTTCTTGTCTCGCCGAACACATCGCTCCCGTTCGACGCGATCCGCAGCGCATGCTGCGAGATGGTCGTCGGTCACGTGGCAATTCCCGTCGGTGTCGTAGGCCTGCTACGACTCGACGACGCGTAGTTTTTCGTGCTAATGGCGACGACCGAAGGCTGCCTCGTCGCCAGCACGAACCGCGGTTGAAAGGCCATCTGCGCCGCGGGTGGTGCGCAGAGCGTCGTGCTGCGCGACGGCATGACCCGCGCATGACCCGCACGCCCGCTGTCCATTCCCCCGCTCCCTTTACCCCCCACTCCGTCCACTCCCTCTCTCCCCTGGTCGTCTCCCCCCCAACCGTGCTAGTCTTCCCTCCTCTCTCCCTCGTTTTCTCTCTTTCCCTGCCTCACCCTGCCTGTCAATCCGGTTCCTCCCCCCAACCCTGCCCCTGCAGCTTCAACGTGTATGTGTCGCAAGCAGAAGTGAAGCCGGGGTGTGTGTGTCAAAAAGCACTATCACGTACTGGTGTCCCAAGCTGAGGAGGAGAGAGAAGAACCAAAGGCTAAGGGCAGTGATGGTAGCACGGCTGGTGATGATTCATGAGGCATGTTAGCTTAGCAATGTTTCGGAAGGCTGCTACTGACTTAGTACATAAAATAGAGATTTCTAATTATAACAGCCTTTTATATTATTGAACACTGATGCATCAGCCTTTTTTCAAAGGCAACACTGATATTTCAGGCTTTTTTTTAGGAACACTGTCAATCAGGGTTTCTACACAAGGGTACCCTGATGGGTCGACGACCCTAAAAGTGAATCTGAGGCCCTGGTGAGGACGAAAGACAATCAGCAAATCTCATGGGCGGTGAAAGTGTTCAATACATTAGTTACTGGTACATCCAACCAATATCTCGGCGTTCATCGCTGGACAGGAATGTAGAACACTTGAAGATGCTATACCATCCTACAGCTTCTCATGGTTGCTGATCTCAGCCATATTACAGAACCAGTCATATGGTAGATAACTGTAAATATTATGAACCAAAGCCTGTGACAACCCAGCCATTAAGCTCATCTTTATTCACCCAGAGCAGATTCACAGAACTGTACACATGGCAAAACTACCATCTGTAACATGGTAACTATACACCATCCATCAAACATAGGCTCTAGCAGCTACAGTGCTCTGCAGTGGCCGGTCTCTCATCTGAGCAGCAATATCGGCCACAGCACCTGACCCATGCACCCTCCGGAAAACCCTAGGGAGTCACACATTGGCTCTAGCAGCCACATTGCTGTGCAACATCCCGTGTCTCATCTGAGCAGCAATATCTGCCCCTGCGCCTGGCCCGTGTGCGCACTTGCAGCCGTAAGGTAAGTTACACGTTAGTTCTAGCAGCCACATTGCTGTGCAACATTCCATTTCTGATCTGAGCAGCAATATCCGCTGCTGCTCCTGGCCCGTGCGGCACAAAGATGGTGGACGATCGGTTGTTGGCACCGATGTCTCGCATGGTGTCGAAATACTGTGTCAGCATGACCTGTGGGAGGGGGAGAGGATGAGGAAAGCACAGCGAAATGACATGGCACGAAGATGGTAAATGACCGGTTGTTGGCGCCGATGTCCCGCATGGTGTCGAAATACTGAATCAGCATGACCTGTGTGGGGGAGAGTTGGGTGGGAGGGCGGTGGGGAGGATGAGGAGGGCAGAGAGAGATGATGAGGGAGGATGTGTCACGAGGCACGACCGGTTGTTAAGCCCATGTCCCTCATGGTGTCGAAACACTGTGTCAACATAACCTGTGTTGAGGGGATGCACAAGCGTGGCGGCGCAGGCATGAAGGCACAGATAAGTGAGGTACCAGCCATGAGAATCTTGCTCCGATGCCCTTTATGGTGTCGGAATACTGTGTCACCATGACCTGTGGGATGGGAAGTAAGGTTGGGCAAGCATGAAGGTACAGGGGCCATGCTTAGGCTCAACTCAATCACATGGCACGCCCCCCCTCTCTCACCATGCCCCCCCTCTCTCACCATGCCCCCCCTCTCTCACCATGCCCCCCCTCTCTCACCATGCCCTCCCCCTCACCATACTAAGCATGACTGGCACCTGCACTGTTTTTGAGTCGACTCAAAAGCATGTCTGGAACTAAATGCACTGTGGCATTACTCCCCACTCACCACTCCCCCACTCCCACTCACCGCTCACCGCTCACCGCTCACCACTCACCACTCACCACTCACACTCACACTCACTCACCGCTCACCACTCACCGCTCACCATTCACACTCACACTCACACTCACACTCCCACTCACTGCTCACCACTCACCACTCACACTCCCACTCCCACTCACCGCCGCCGTCCACCCTCTCACCATACCCAGCACGTCCTTGGACGTGATGCCTAGCACCGGCACTGCTGCATTACCTAGATCATACCTGCACCGCCCACGCTAACTTGCCCAGCACTCCCACTCCCACTCACTTCACTACCACCCGCCTCTCACCATGTCCAGCACGAACTTGGGCGTACTGCCTGCTTGGTACCCACACTGCTGCAGTGCCTGCACCTCCCACGCGCTCGCTAACTTGTCCAGCACTCCCACTTCCACTCGCACTCACTACCCTCCTTCCTCTCACCATGTCCACCACGACCTTGGGCGTGGTGCCCAGCAGTGCTGTCTGGTCTGCCAGTTCACTCACCCATGCACCTCATCCTATCCCACTCGTCCCACTCACTACATCCCCCAAAGCACCCAACCTCTCACCCTGTCCAGCACGTCACGTCCTTGGGCGTAGTGCCTGGCACTTGTTCCCCGCGTCTGGCATGGTTGCATTACCTAGTACATTCTTGCACCACCCCCTAACTCACTATCCTCCGCCCTCTCACCATGTCAAGCACGTCCTTGGGTGTGGTGCCCGGCACTTGCTCCGAGAACCCCACCCAGCACGCTGGCTCAACCAACCAACCCCTTGTCTCACCATGCATCCCCTCGTCTCACCATGCATCCCCTCGTCTCACCATGCATCCCCTCGTCTCACCATGCATCCCCTCGTCTCACCATGCATCCCCTCGTCTCATCATGCATCCCCTCGTCTCACCATGCATCCCCTCGTCTCACCATGCATCCCCTCGTCTCACCATGCATCCCCTCGTCTCATCATGCATCCCCTCGCCTCACCATGCATCCCCTCGTCTCACCATGCATCCCCTCGTCTCACCATGCATCCCCTCGTCTCACCATGCATCCCCTCGTCTCACCATGCTGTCAGAATCCCAACCACTAAACCATTGGGATAAAATGACTTATTAAGTAGCGGGTCAGTGCGCCCATAACCCCCAAGACAACGAGCCTGTAACCCTTCCCTAGGATCAATCGGGGATCACCAGTGGACCTCTCACACCCCCCCGCACTGGGATGCCCGAAGTGCACACACTGGGATTCGAACCCGAAACTTTCGCTTTAATACCATGTTAGAATCCCAGCCACTAAATTATTGGTATAAAAGGGCTTGTTAAGTAGCGGATCAGTACGCTCATAACCCCTCAGGACAACGAGCCTGTAACTTTTCCCTATGATCAATCGGGGATCACCAGTGAACCTCTGACACGTGCATCCCTTCGTCTCACCATGCATCCCCTCGCCTCACCATGCATCCCCTCGCCTCACCATGCATCCCCTCGCCTCACCATGCATCCCCTCGCCTCACCATGCATCCCCTCGCCTCTCACCATGTCCAGCACGTCTTTGGGTGTGGTGCCGGGCACTTGCTCCGAGAACCCCAGCACGCTGTCCCTCAACCCGAGTTTCAGACCACATCCACCTCATCCTATCCCGCAGATTCCACTGCCCATGCCCACCCTTCCGCGCCTCTCACCATGTCAAGCACGTGCTTGGGTGTGGTGCCCGGCACTTGCTCTGAGAACCCCAGCACGCTGTCTCTCAACCCCTCCACTATGGCCTAGGGGGGGGGGGGGGAGGAGGGAGAGCGGGCAAGTAAAGGCAGGGGTTGAGGAGTGGAGGAAAGGCGCAGCGAGAAGCACAGCACGTCTATTGGTGTGGTGCCGGGTACTTGCTCTGAAAACCCCAGCACACTGTCCCTCAACCCCTCCACTATGGCCTAGGGGGGGAGGGGGAGGAGGGAGAGCGTGCAGGTAAAGGCAGGGGTTGAGGAGTGGAGGAAAGGCGCAGCGAGAAGCACAGAACATCTTTGGTTGTGGTGCCGGGTACTTGCTCTGACAACCCCAGCACGCTGTCCCTCAGCCCATCCACGATGGTATGGCCTGGGGGGAGGGGGGGTGTCTCGGGGAGGGTAGGGGGTGAGAATAGGAATACTCGGAGTGTAGTGTCTCAAGGCACTTGCTCTGACAACGCCAGCACGCTGTCCCTTAGCCCATCCACTATGGCCTGCAGGGGGAAGCGGAGGGAGAGGGGGCAGGTGGGGGCGGGGCTGAGGAGTGGAGGAAAGGCACACAGCACGTCCTAGGGTGTTCTGCTGACAGGAACCACCGGCTCCGAGAATCTTAGCACGCTGGCCCTTGAGACTAGCATTGTCTCAAGGTACATGCTCTGAGAATCCCAGCACGCTGTCCCTTAGCCCATCCACTATGGCCTGATGGGAAAAGAGGAGGGGGCGGATTGGGGGACGGAGGGTGCGAAGGGGAGGGGGTGAGAAGAGGAGTAAGACTCACAGCGTCTCAAGGTACTTGCTCTGAGAAGCCCCGCACGCTGTCCCTCAGCCCGTCCACTATGGCCTGGTGGGAGGGGGAAGAGGAGGGAGAGAGGTGGGGGCAGGGGTTGAGGAGTGGAGGACAGGCAGAGCATGAAGAACAGTGTGCAGGCGCAAAAGCACGTCCTTCGTTTTGCTACCGAGAACTTGCTGAACTTGCTCAGCTTGCTCAACTTGCTCCGGGAAGCTGAGCGCACCCACTATGGCATGAGGAGGGGGGGAGGTGGGGTGGGAGGGAAAGACACTGTTCCTCTGGCCGTGCACTATGGAGTGGAGGCAAGACGGAGGGAACGTGGGGGGCAGGGCTTGAGGACAGCAGTATTGCAGGATGTCTAGGTTCGGACAGGATGTCTAGGTTCGGACAGGATGTCTAGGTTCGAACAGGATGTCTAGGTTCGGACAGGATGTCTAGGTTCGGACAGGATGTCTAGGTTCGGACAGGATGTCTAGGTTCGGACAGGATGTCTAGGTTCGGACAGGATGTCTAGGTTCGGACAGGATGTCTAGGTTCGGACAGCATGTCTAGGTTCGGACAGCATGTCTAGGTTCGGACAGCATGTCTAGGTTCGGACAGCATGTCTAGGTTCGGACAGCATGTCTAGGTTCGGAGAGAATGTCTAGGTTCAGACAGGATGTCTAGGTTCGGACAGCATGTCTAGGTTCGGAGAGAATATCTAGGTTCGGACAGGATTTCTAGGTTCAGACAGGTGGTTCATGCTCCAGAAAGCCCAGCGCCCATGGGATTACAGTCAGATAGAGGCACACCTGTCTCTGTCCCACAACGCCCACCTGCCACGTACCTCGCCTGTATCCTTCCGTGGTGGTGGGTGCAGAACACAAGCATGTTTCCAGCCAGCACAAGCATGTTTCCAGTCAGCACACACCCAGTAGCCCCTCACCTGTCTCTGTCTCGCCACGCCCACGCCTGAGAGGTACCTTGCCTCCGCCTCTCCTTCTGCCTTCTTCACCTGCCGTGCAGAGCAGAAGCAGAGTGTGGAGCTCACTCACAAGCACCATAAAAATAGATGACTTTTGAGTCGACTCAAAAGTGCAGAGCAGAAGCAGAGTGTGGAGCTCGCTCACAAGCACCATACAAATAGCTCGGCAATGAGTGAGAGAAAACAGGGAGATACTGGGATCGGCAAAGACGTTTGTGTTTTTAGTCCGTTCAACTTTCAGCAACGTGTGAAACAAAGTGGGCGAATGCGTATACTGGGATTGGGAAAGGCGCCTCAAGGAGCGATGCGATAGAGCATTGCTTGCATTACCTGCAGGATCTTCTCTGCTTCTGCCTTCTCCTGTGTGGCCATGCGAATGCGCTGGGCTGCAGGGAGGATTGGGGAACATAGTGTGTGAGTGAGTAACTTAACACAAGGGCAGATGGAAATAGGTGCACATTACAAATGTAAATGTAAAATTCCTACAGCACATTTATGCGAATCTACAAATGTAAAAGTCCACCCTTTTATGCCATTCACTAAATGGTAAGCTCCTCACCCACTATTCATCGTCTGCACTACATCCACATCCACATACGGATAGAACATTTTTACACACATATATAAACAAATGTGTACATTATCTACACTCTCACCGGCATTAGCTTCGTTCATGGCCGCCTTCACTCGGTTGTCCGGCTCCACATCCACTATCAGCGTGTGCAACCCATGCACATTCACATACGGCCCGCTCCACATGCACATTCACATACGGCCCGCTCCACATGCACATTCACATACGGCCCGCTCCACATGCACATTCACATACGGCCCGCTCCACATGCACATTCACATACGGCCCGCTCCACATGCACATTCACATACGGCCCGCTCCACATGCACATTCACATACGGCCCGCTCCACATGCACATTCACATACAGCCCGCTCCACATGCACATTCACATACGGCCCGCTCCACATGCACATTCACATACGGCCCGCTCCACATGCACATTCACATACGGCCCGCTCCACATTCACATACGGCCCGCTCCACATTCACATACGGCCCGCTCCACATTCACATACGGCCCGCTCCACATGCACATTCACATACGGCCCGCTCCACATTCACATTTTGCGTCATATGTTATCATCTACACTCTTACCGGCATTGATCTCGTTCATAGCAGCCTTCACTCGATGGTCCGGCTCCACATCCACGATCAGGGTCTGCACAATGCGGTAACCGTACGTCCTCATCGCCTGCTTATTGAATCCGAGGGAGAATGTACATCAAATAAAAGGGAGAAGTGTACCATTTTTTTCATACCCAAAATTTAATAGTAGTAAAAATCTTGAGAAGTGATATACACAACACGTCTCCGCGAACGATTTCTCACCTTGTCGCTTCGTTGCTCTGGTGTTGCTAATGGTGGTAAGCGTTAGGATTATGCTTGTTGAGAGAGAGGGGTGGTGGGATTAAGGAAGGGACGTGAGAAAGGGGTAGCGTGGAAAGGTTGGCCGTGATTACAATAGAACGGGCTATGCTTTTGTTGGTGCTCGTTCCGGCACTGCTACTAGTGCGAAAACTGCTTCTAATGGTGGTACTGCTATGATTGTAATAATTACAATGATAGCCGTACAAACACCAAAAACAATCTCCGCAATTGTGGCAGTGTCAAAACCGGCACCAACAATAACAAAGTCTGTGCTATTGGAACCATAACCAACCTCACCATCCTACCCTTCTCTCGCATCTCTCCCTTCGACTCCATCTCACTCTCTCCACATCCTTCGGATTTCGACCTTTCCCCTCCTACCTCCCCTCCCCCACTCCACCCACCTTCTCAAGCTCTTCCTCCACTGTGTGAGCGATCTCGTTCTTCACCTCAAACACACGGTCCAGATCCATCTTGGGCACACTGGCGCGCACCACTGCGGGGAAGAGGAAGGAGAGGGCGGAAAGGAAAGGGGAAAGGGGAATTGGAGGGGAGGGGAAGAATGAACGATCTCGTTCTTCACCTCAAACACACGATGCAGATCCATCTTGGGCACACTGGCGCGCACCACTGCAGAAAGGACAAAAAAGACGGAGGAAAAGGGGAAAGGGGGGGGAAGGACGGGCGATATCGATCTTCACCTCAAATACACGGTCCTGATCCATTTTGGGCACACTACTATGAAATGGTGGAGGGAACAGAAAACAGCCAAATAAAGCAAAAACACCTTCGAAACACAGTCCAGGTGCGCTCGCGCGCAGCATTGAAAACAACTAGTGGGTCTAAATTATGTAATGCATGAGCTTTTGTGACGCACCGGCCACCATGAAACGCGCAACCTGCAGCACTCACCGTCTAAGACGTACGATCGGATCTGCGCCTGCGGGTCCTGCAGCTTGTAGAATGCGTCAAAAGAGGAAAACAACGCACGACCGAGCAGTGCACACCGTTGAAAACACGCAGCGAGCACTCACCATCGAAGACGTACGATCGGATCTGCGCCTGCGGGTCCTGCAGCTTGTAGAAGGCATCCTCGATCTGCTCGCGAATCGCCTGGTACTGTATCGACGCGACTACAGTGACAAACACGTTGTCCTGAAGCGGGGAAGCCAAAAACGGGGATAAAAAGGGGAAACAGGGTCCTGCAGCTTGTAGAAGGCGTCCTCGATCTGCTCGCGAATCGCCTGGTACTGTATCGACGCGACAACTGTCACGAACACGTTGTCCTGAAGTCGGAAAGCGAAACACTCAGATGAAGGGTGGGGGGAGAAATCAGGTGCTACCAGGAAGGGAGACACGAAGAGCTGCAAGATGGAGGACAGGGAACAGTAGAGGCCGTTACTCTACTGAGTGCCATTATTAAAGAAACCGAGGGTCGTTTGCAATGGCGCCGTTCAGGCTGTTGGAGGGGAAAAATACGCGACCAGGGGCCTTAGTCTGAGTTGGCGCACGCGGACGTTACACTCGGCTTTAACGGTCGAGCGACGCATGGTTCTTGAAGGAAGGACGCGAACCTTGGTTTTGGTTTCGCAGCGCACGTCGAGTTGGCGCACGCGCAGGCTCATGAGCCCCGCGGGGCGATAGCAGCAGCACCATGGCACGCAGTGATAGCCCTCTTCCCCTCTCCCCCCGTCCCCACCTCCCTCCCGTACACACCGAACCACAACGGTACTGATAGCCATACCTTGGTTTTGGTTTCGCACCGCACGTCGAGTTGGCGCACGCGCAGGCTCATGAGCCCCGCGGGGCGGTAGCAGCAGCACCATGGTACGCAGTGACAGCCCGGGTCGAGCGCCTTGACGAACCGCCCGAAATGCTCCACCATGGCCACCGTTGATTGGTCCACCTGGAGCAGTCCGAACATCTTCTCCATACTGGCCGTCGCCTGTAGAAATAATATATTATATAGCGATAAAAATTCGTTTTAAATAGTCTGGAACTAAAGTACGGCGGCGTTAGTAACTGATTCACTTAGGTAGAGAGAGTAACGTAGCTCGGAGGATGACGAAAAGGTGACGAGTGCGACTAAGGAGTATTCAAGAAATCCGAAATGGCGCCATGTATTTGGGTTGTGCTTTTGAAGAAGCTAGCCAAACCAAACCACAACGCCCATCTCAACTCAACAGCTGGGGCAGTCGGCTGGAGGGAGTGGGGGAAGCGAGTGGCGCGGCGGAGCGGCTGCGAGGGAATAGCGACCTGGCGCTGCAGGGAGGAAGGGGAAGAGGCTTGGTTGGAAGAAAAGGGGAAGGGCGAATTTCTCCCGGGACAAGGGGGAAGGGGGAGGGAGCACCGTGCCGCGTCTGCATTGCTGATTCGTTCTTGCATTTCACAGTGCGACGCGGTTTGTTACCCAGGTACGCACGCAAACATGCACCACACTGTCTCGCGCTTGACTTTCGCGAGGCATGCGCGAAGCTCGCCACCACCCGACCCTGGTTCCGAGGCAATGGAAAGGTTCAGGTGAGGTGGTGCTTTCATGTGCTAGTGTGGTGAGGGCTGCTACTTCCCTCTAGCACGTGGATCGTTGGGCATCCATCAACAGATAGCCACGGCATCAGAGGCTTCCATGACGTGGAAATTCGTGAGGGGCGAGGGGCACGTGGCAGCACGAATCACCAGTTTTCCACGATACAAATCGCCAACAGAAACACATGCAAAGCACTTTTGCTTTACAGATTTCGGAGCTGCTTCTATCGCATACTCCTTTCCAGGTAGGGACAGATAACACGACACAGACAACACCAGTATATTAGCACGAGAATAGATAGCTCTGAACAACACGGAACAGAAACGGGTCAGTGGTCAGAGCGGTCACTGCTACTAGAGGAAGTAGAACGCGTGGCGGCCTTCCGCGGAAGCCGTAGCGATGGCTCCTTCCGCCGGCCTAGAACGCACTTCGTTCACCTCCCGATGCCTACATTCCGAAACCGCGCTCGACTTAGTAAGGATCCGCGCTTCCTCCGCTACGATTTCCAGCCTCCCCAGTCGATCCCTGCTTCTTAATCCGTCCTTGTTAGCTACTTTACACCAAGTCCATGGCTCTCCGTCTATCGTTCCACGTGCGGCATTTTTCGGCCGGCCCTTGCTTCGCGGGCCAATCGGCAGACGCCTCGTGTCCCGTCCTGCACAAGAATCGTCAGCACCGCGGCGCCAATGTACGAATCGCGCGAATTCCGCACGGGCGGCAGCAGGCGCGCCGCAGCAGCCGCCGCCGGCGGACGGATCGGCGGGGGAGTGGCGGCGGCGATGGGAACCGTCGGAGCGATTCGCGCTGTCGTTTGCGAGCCAGATGGGCGACGACATGGAGAAAGCCGAGGCGCAGGTGGGCTGTGAATATTGAGGCGCAGGTGGGTTGTCAGCGGCTAAAGGTTGTGAATGTGAGGGTTTAGGCCAAGCCATGCGTGCTCTCGAACACGCAGGAACGGAGCAGCACGTTTCCCGCTAAAACCCCGAACCCCGTTCAGCAGTGCCCCTGTCTTCTATTGCCCACACCTCCCCTCCCTCCCCCTGTCCTATGCGCCTCTACCCGCGCATCACCCAGCTGGTGGCAGGGAAGCGCTCAAACCAGCTCCTTTATCTCCGTTATCATCCATCCCTTCCCCTCCGCCCTTCCCCTGCCCCCCCCCCCCCCCCCCCCCCCACCTTGCGCCTTCCCCTTTCTACCCCCTCCCCCTCTTTACCCAGCTCCTCCTAATGCGCCTCTACCGGGACCTCAACCAGCTGTCCACTTGGGTGCCGGTGCACCTTTACTCTGCTATCATCCATTTCCCCCCTCCCCGCTCACCTCCCTCTCTCCCCCCCCCCCCCACCCCCCCCGCAGCTCCACTAATGCGCCTCTACCTGGTCCTTAAACCAGCTCTCCTCACTCACCCGCCACACCCCTTTCCGTCTTCTCCCTTCTCCCCCCCACCTCCTTCCCCCTCGCAGCTGCTCCTAATGCGCCTCTACCCGGATCTCAATCAGCTGTCAGCGGGGGAGCATACAAAACAGCACCTGTACTTCTGTCATCATCCATACCCTCCCCCGCCCTTCCCCCCCCCCCCTTCCTTCCCCGCCCCCCCAGCTCCTGCTGATGCGCCTGTACCCGGATCTCAACCAGCTGTCCGCGGGGGAGCGCGTGCACCTATACTCAGCCATCCATTTCCCGGCCCCCACCTCCCCTGTTCGTGCCTCCCTCTCCCCACCCCCCACCTCCCCCCCATCCTCCTTCCCCCCCCAGCTCCTGTTAATGCGCCTGTATCCGGATCTCAACCAGCTGTCCGCGGGGGAGCGCGTGCAGCAGCGCGTGAAGCGCATGGGCGGCAACGTTCGGCAGCTAGTGGAGCAGCTGTGGGCGGAGGTGGAGGACATGGAGCGCGCGCGCATGCAGGCCCGGGCGGCACGGGCGGGGGGAACCGGAGGAGGAAGGGGCGGTGAAGCTTCCTCCGGAGTGGTTTCGTCTCCTGGTGGTGGAACATCTGTCGGTGAAGCTGGTAGTTCCGCCGTTACATCTGCCGTTTCATCTTCTGACGCTGGAACTGTAACCCGCCCTGAGAAGCCGAAGAGACCCGCCCCGCCCCTTGTTGCGCCGCCCAGCCATCCAGCGCGAGCCGCCGCCCAATCCCTCGCCGCTTCCCCCGGTGGAACTTCACAAACGGACAAAAGCACCCGCCCTCCTGCTGCTGTCCCGGTTGTGATTAGGGCAGTACGGCCGTCCAAGATGTATGGAGAGGGCGGGGTTAAAGACACGCTTCCCCCCGAATTTAGAGGGGTGGCTGCAATCATAGAACCAGTTAAAGTGCAGAGGAAGGGAGACAGGGGGGAGGGAGAGACTAGGGGAGTGGCAGCATCAGCATTATCATCATCAGCAGCAGCACCAGTAGCACCACTAACCCCACCACCCAGACGACCAGCACTGGCAGGGGTAGCAGTCGCTAAGACAGGGACAAATACAAAGGGTGTGGGGGAGAAAACGGAGCTAAAGGAGGAGGATGGAGAGGCCAGGAAAGACAAGGAGAAGAAGGGGAAGAAGGAGGAGGAGAGGGAGGAAGTTTTGCCAGTGTTACAGAGGCCAGCGGGGTCTGGACGGTTCGTGAGTGCGGTAGAGGCAAACGGGGAGTCTGATAAGGGCGCGAAAGCGAAGGAGAAGGAGGAGGAGAGGGAGGAAGTTTTGCCAGTATTACAGAGGCCAGCGGGGTTTGGGCGGTTCGATAGTGCTGCAGAGGCGAGCAAGGTCTCTTCTGACAAGGGCGTGCCAGGGGAGACGATGGGAGGAAAGGGGAAGAAGGGGAAGAAGGGGAGAGAGGAGAGGGAAGAGGTGATGCCCGTGTTGCAGAGGCCAGCAGGGTCTGTGAGGGCTGTGAGTGCGGCTGAGGCAAGCACGGTGGTTGATAAGGGTGTGGAAGGGGAGGCGAAGCAGGCGAAAAAGGAGGAAGAGGAGAAGAGGGAAGAGTTCGTGCCAGTGCTGCAGAGGCCAGCAGGGTCTGTGAGGGCTGTGAGTGCGGCTGAGGCAGGCACGGTGGTTAATAAGGGTGTGGAGGGGGAGAGGACGCAGAAGAAGGAGGAAGAGGAGAGGGAAGGGGTGATGCCCGTGTTGCAGAGGCCAGCAGGGTCTTTGTGTGCGGTAGAAGCAAGCACAGGCGTGGAGGGGGAGACGAAGCAGAAGGAGGAGAAAGAGGAGAGGGAAGCGGTGCCAGTGTTGCACAGGCCAGCGGGGTCTGTGCGTGCAGTAGAGGCGAGCAGCACAGCGGTTGATAAAGCTGTTGAGGAGGAGGGGAAGCAGAAGGGTGTGGGGAAAAAGGAGAAGGAACAGGCACTGCCAGCGTTGCAGAGGCCTGTGAGTGGGACGGCTGTCGGGATTGCTGAGTCGACTGAAAAGACTAGCAAGGTTGCCGGAGGTAAGGTCCTGGAAGGAGAGAGTACAGAAGCAACAGGAGCAGGTGGAGCAGGAGAAGCAGGAGTGGCAGGAGAAGCAACAGGAGCAGGTGGAGCAGGAGAAGCAGGAGCGGCAGGAGCAGCAACAGGAGCAGGTGGAGCAGGAGAAGCAACAGGAGCAGGTGGAGCAGGAGAAGCAGGAGCGGCAGGAGCAGCGAAGGGAGAGGGTGAAGGAGAGAGTACAGCAGCAGGAGTAGCAGGAGAAGCAACAGGAGCAGGTGGAGCAGGAGAAGCAGGAGTGGCAGGAGAAGCAACAGGAGCAGGTGGAGCAGGAGAAGCAGGAGCGGCAGGAGCAGCAACAGGAGCAGGTGGAGCAGGAGAAGCAACAGGAGCAGGTGAAGCAGGAGAAGCAGGAGCGGCAGGAGCAGCGAAGGGAGAGGGTGAAGGAGAGAGTACAGCAGCAGGAGTAGCAGGAGAAGCAACAGGAGCAGGTGGAGCAGGAGAAGCAGGAGCGGCAGGAGCAGCGAAGGGAGAGGGTGAAGGAGAGACGGCGGCCCCAGCGGATAAGGTGCCAGTGAAGAAAGTGACTGTAATGAAGGCCCCTGCACGGCCACACAACGCTGCTGCTGTTCTGGCCACAAAGGGAGTGGGAGAAAGGGAGGGAGGGAAAGAGGGGGAGGGAGAGGGAGAGGGAGAGGAGTGGTCTGTGACAGTGCAGGAGGCAGTGCGGCGGGAGGAGGCGAGGGAGAGGAGGCAAGCAGCCCTGCTGAAGCCCACTCCTCCACCTGCTGCTGCTGCCAATGCCGCTGCCGCTGCAGAAGATGAATCTGAAGAGGTCCTAGAGACAAGGTACACACAACCCCCCAACCCCCCCTCCACCCCCAATTCTCCGAGTTCTGGGTCGACGCAAAATTCGGCCCTTTTCGTTCTAACGAATCAATAAGCGCCCCCTTCACCTACTGCTGCTGCTGCTGTTGCAGAAGATGAATCTGAAGAGGTCCTAGAGAAACGGTACGCACACACACACAGCATGCAGGGTGTTTTTGAGAGGGTTCTTTTGAGTCGACTCAAAAGAGGGTTCTTAAGAAAAACACCCCGCAACGTGAAGTCTGAACAGATTGTAGAGAAACGGGAAGCACGGCCCCCCCATTTCTCCGACGGAGAGAAGGCAGTAGGCCCCACGTGGTGACTTTTGAGTCGACTCAAAAGTCTTCTCCGACGGAGAGAAGGCAGTAGGCCCCACGTGGTGACTTTTGAGTCGACTCAAAAGTCTTCTCCGACGGAGAGAAGGCAGTAGGCCCCACGTGGTGACTTTTGAGTCGACTCAAAAGTCTTCTCCGACGGAGAGAAGGCAGTAGGCCCCACGTGGTGACTTTTGAGTCGACTCAAAAGTCTTCTCCGACGGAGAGAAGGCAGTAGGCCCCACGTGGTGACTTTTGAGTCGACTCAAAAGTCTTCTCCGACGGAGAGAAGGCAGTAGGCCCCACGGCTGTGACTACTCTCTCCAAATGCCTTCTCTCCGTCACGGGGATTTTCTTAGAATTCCAAAACAAAGTCACCTCTTTTGAGTCGACTCAAAAGTCACTCCGTCACGGGGATTTTCTTAGAATTCCAAAAAAGTCACCTCTTTTGAGTCGACTCAAAAGTCACTCCGTCACGGGGATTTTCTTAGAATTCCAAAAAAATCCCTCCGTTGACTCCCCTCTCCCCCTTGATCCGTTGTCAGTCCTGTTCCGACCCCTCGCGCCCTCCCGTTCCCCCTGCCACCCCCATTCTTTCCACCTCTCTCATCTCAAGTCGCTGGGAACCAGCAAGCCACTGGCTGTAACACCTATTCCCAAGGGCCTTCCCACCGCCATCACCCCTCCGCCTGTTGACCTGCGCCGCACCCGTCCTGATTCCCCTCGCCCGCCCTTCCCCCCCAAACCCTGTTCTCTCCCCCACTGCAGGCCTTCCAAGCCTGTGACCACCAGCAGCCCCCAGGCTGTGTCGCCTATCCCCAACGGCCCGCCCCCCATCGTCACCCCGCCACCTGTTGACCTGCCAGCCCCTCCCCTCCCTACCCTCCCACCCCGTTTTTCCCCACTCTCCAGGCCTTCCAAGCCTCTGAACACCAGCAACCCCCAGGCTGTGACGCCTATCCCCAAGGGCCTTCCCCCCGTCGTCACCCCTCCACCTGTCGACCTGCGCCGCACCCGCCCCGACTCCCCCTGCCCGCCCCTCCCCCCCAAACCACGCCCTTTCCTCTCCTCGCCTGCCCCTGCCCCGCCTCCTGCTGCCGAAGCTGTTCCTGTCCCTGCTGATGCCGCTTCTACTCCTGCTGCTCCTCCTGCTGCTGCTGCTGCTGCTCCTGCTGCTGCTGCTGCTGCTGCTGCTCCCACCACTGCCACTGCCTCTTCTGCTGCTGATAATGCTGGTGTTGATATCACTTCGCTAAGTGCTGCTGCTGATTCCCATAGCAGTGATGATCTGCTGAAGGGCATCAAACTGTGGGGCCTCAATACTTCTCCTGAGGTACGATGCACTTCTACCCTTTTGAATTGTGTAGGTCATTGCCTTTACCCCTCATTTTAATATTTCCTCTCTTCTACCCCTTCATCATTCCACTCCATTCGCCGAAAAAACACTGCATTCACCAAATAATTCTGCGTAAAAAAAAAAAAAAAAAAAAAAAAAAAAACTATTCAACATTCATGTATCCATACTCACCTTTCAAAATCATGTTCATGTCTGTGGCACATGGCACATAGCACATGGCACATGGCACATGGCAGGAGGAGAAGGCGATTCAGCAAGCAGAGAAGGAGCGCACAACAGTGCCAGCCAAGGTCGTCAGCTGCAACCACGGCGGCCTCGTGGTAAGCTGCTTGGATGCCTGCAATCCCATGTAGCTCGTGGTCGTCACCCGGACCTGGAGCTGCTTGGATGCCTGCACCCGGAGCTGCTTGGATGCCTGCACCCGGACCTGCTTGCATGCCTGCACCCGGACCTGCTTGCATGCCTGCACCCGGAGCTGCGCCGATGTAGCTTCAGACCTAGCCTCAATCCCAACCTCCCACTCTCCTCTTCCTCCCTTTCTCCCCTCTCCCCCATTCCTCCAGCTTTCACTCAACGGCGTACAAGCCTTCCTCCCAGCCAGCTACATGCACCCGGAGCTGCGCCGGTGGAGCTTCCGAGGCTGGCTCCGAGCCAACGGGCACGACCCGAACCTGTTTGGGGCGCGGGAGGAGAGTGGTGGAGGGGAGGGGGGAGGCAGGGAAGGGGAGAAATGGAAGGCATGGAACAAGGGGAAAGAAGGGAAAGAAGGGAAAAAGGGGGAAGAGAAGGAAGAGGGGGGAGAAGAGGGGAGAATGGAAGGAGAGGGGGGAGAGGGAGAAGAGCAGGCAGGTGGAGGGGAGGGTGTGGAGGCCTTGAGGGTTCAGCTGAGTGAGCAGTACACTCAGGAAAAACTCACTCTCTTCTCGTCCTATGTGGGGGAGGTGAGACTTGCCCTCTTCTTGTCCTATGTGGGGGAGGTGAAATTTACCCTCTTTCCTAAATTGTCAGTCTCATATGGGGGAGGTGAGATTTGAACCCTTTTTTCTCCCACTTAGGGGAGGTAGATATGTGTGATTATAAAGCTCGTTTTTTCTAAATGAAATGCTTATTATGTCCCTCCTCCTGTTTCCCTCCGTCTCCCTCCCACAGGAGGTGCGAGTGAGAGTTGAAAGGTGTGACTCTAAGACGCGCTCTGTCTTTGTGACACAAAGGGGGGCTGATCTGGAAGACGAGGAGAGGGTGGAGCGAAGGGAGCAGCTGCAGGTGGGTGATTGCACTTAATTGAACAAGTGTTTTGAGACGATTTTTGAGACGCCTCAAAACACTTCTTCATGCACTTTTGAGGTGGTGCTGGCACTTTTGAGGTGGGTGCTGGCACTTTTCTGTGATTTTCATAAGAAATCAGAAGGAAAACTCAGATGCAACAAGCTGACTAGAGATTCGCCTCATATCCAGTGAGGCAGATTTGGTCATTGAAATGCTATAAGCCAGTGTGAGCTATTCACTTTTCCTGGCTCGTACTTTCTTCCTTGCTCCCCTGTCATATCTGAAACGTCTGTTTCTTGCAATGGGTTAAATAGAGTCCGTTTCTGAAACGACAAATACTTGCTGAAATTAACAGTCAAATATTTGATTCAAGGGCACGTCTCTCGCTCGTATCTCCCTCGTATCTCCTTCCGCGTTACTCACTCAGTCGCTTCAACAATTCGTGTGTATGCATGTATGTATGCATGTATGTATGCATGTATGTATGTGTGGTGCTGTGCCCCTGCCATCTCGCTTCCATCTGTGCATGTGCATGGCTGCATGGCATGGCCACATCAGCACCGGCTGGAAGCTGGGGATGCTGTAACGTCCACAGTGGTGTACATTGGTGACATGAACATGACCGTTCAGGTATGCTCTACCTCGCAGATCATGGTTTTTTCTTATTATGTAGTGCATGTAAGTAGATGTTGTAACGTTCACAGTGGTGTACATTGGAGACATGAACATGACCATCCAGGTATGAGCGCATATGCATATTTGTCGCCTACAGTGGTCTAGGCGTCTTCGTGAGCAGAAGTGTGAAAGCAGAGGCACTTCTGATGCATGGTCTTGACATCGGGTGTGTGCTCTGTACTACGCACTTCTATGTTTGCCCATGCTCTAATGCTAACAGGAAGTTGCTGATACCCATTTTAGAAAAGGCTTGATCTCTATTTTTTCTCTTTGTTTTTCCTTATCTCGGTTCCTCATCCGCCCCTCTCCTCATTCTCCCTTTCCCTCATCTGCGCCTTACCTCATGTGCCCCTTTCTTTATCCCCTGTCTCCTGTGTGTGCCACGTGTCACACCCTCACAGGTGGAGGGAGTGAACGTCATGATCCATTATGACAGTATCCGGCAGCTGAAGCAAGGACCAGTGGACACGTGGCCCTTCCCCATTGGCCATGTAGGTCCACACACACATCACACCTGTGTGTGTGCTTGCTTTCGCATCAAGCACTTTCACATTCCTGAACGCTAAACTCGAAACATTCCTGAACGCTAAACTCGAAACATTCCTGAACGCTAAACTCGAAACATTCCTGAACGCTAAACTCGAAACAGTAAAACCTCTACACTTCAAACATCAAACACTGAAAGCCCAAAACCCAAGCCCAACCCAAAAGCCTTAAACCCACAACTCTAGCCCCTCAAACCACATCAGTTCATCCCATTCACATCAGATGTTCACTTCTTTTAAGGCGCCTCAAAATTCGTCCCAACCCGAAAGCCTTAAACCTTTCAACTCTAGCCCTTCAAACCACACCAGTTCATCCCATTCGCATCAGATGCTCACTTCTCAATATGTGCGTGTCCTGCCCATATGTTCATGCTCACATCACATGTATGTGTATGCACAACTGGGCTGGGCTTAGGTCAGGGTTCAACGTTCTGGGTTTAGCCACAGCAGCGGCAGTGGCAGTGGCAGCAGCAGCGGCAGTGGCAGTGGCAGCAGCAGCGGCAGTGGCAGTGGCAGCCGCAGCGGCAGTGGCAGTGGCAGCAGCAGCGGCAGTGGCAGTGGCAGCCGCAGCGGCAGTGGCAGTGGCAGCAGCAGTGGCAGTGGCAGTGGCAATGGCAGCAGCAGTCTCTTCCCTCTCGCTTCGCTACCCTTCCTTCCTCGCCGCTCCTCCCCTCCGTCCCTCACACCTCAGTCCCTGCCGGTGCATGTGCTTCGCAGCAAGCCAGATACAAGCGTTCATATTTGAGGCACCTCAAAGATAGTCTCCCCCCTCCTCCACTCCCTCTCCTTCAAACCCCTCATGCACCGGCCAGTCCCTGCCAGTGCATGTGCTTCGCAGCAAACCCGTCCAAAAGCGCCTGCTCTTTGCACTGGAGCCGCTGCAAGGGCAGCAGCCGGGGCAGGGGCAGGGGCAGCACCAACAGCAGAGGAAGCAGCGGCAGCAAATAAAGTCTCCCGCACTCTTTTCTCCCTCCCCCCTGCACCCCGCTCACCCCAGTCCCTGTCAGTGCTCGTAGTACACAGCAAGCCAGTTTAAAAGCGCCTGCTCGTTGCTCTGGAACCACCCTTTCCCAACCTCCCTTGTGTTTTTCCCCTCTCTCCCTTCCGTACCCTGCGCCTGCACACACCGGCCAGTCCCTGCCAGTGCATGTGCTGCGCAGCAAGCCGGTTCAAAAGCGCCTGCTCGTTGCACTGGAGCCGCCACAACAGAAGCAGCAGGGGCAGCAGCAGCAGAATCAGGGGCGGCAGCAGCAACAGCAGGGGCGGCAGCAGCAGCAACAGGGGCGGCAGCAGTGGCGGCGACAGAAGGCGCGTGAAGCTGCTGAGTCCTCTCCAAGCATACCGCCTCAGTTTGAGGTGCGACTAGTGTAGTGTAGTGCAGTGCAGCATGGTGCGGTGTAGTGCAGTGCGGCATGGTGCGGTGTAGTGCACTGTGCACCTAGCACACTAGCTCAACAGTGATGCTACTTTTCTCTGCATATGATGCTGCATATCTTCCTCCTCCCCTCCCACTGCACCTCTCCACAATCCCCTGAAAATCTCCTGAACAGGCAGCGGCTGAGCTGGAAGCAGTGGCAGCCAGTCTCAGAGAGACACCTGGCATAACGTCGGTGACTCTGGGGCGTGTGATTGGTGGAGGCGCCTTGGCTCCTGGATTTCAGGTATGAATTGCTGTCAGTCAGTTTTGATAGTTGTATGTCTCTGGACCTTCCTGGTTTGAGACGCGTTTTTAGTGTGATGTGCTTTTGAGGCGCCTCAAAAGTCGCTTTTAGCGTGATGGCACACAAACACCCTTTCGTCTTACAGTGTTTTACATTCTTGCCATATTTCATCCAAGAGATGCAAGAGCTGCATCTACTGTACTGAGCATGGAAACTACAACTCATCCTCACTAATGTTTGTTCCACGCTTCTGAACTTTGTACCTTACCTGCACTCCACGCGTCTTTGAAATCGTTTTCACAGATTTTCCTGGCGTCACAGTCAGACTCTGAATACAAGCTCGTAGCACGTGCAGGGCTGACCATTCAAGAGGTAACGCTCTTCCTCGGCCAAAATTCCATGCTTCATGACGTAATTGCCTACCTGATGTACCGTATCGTTCATCCGCTTGAGGGTGGTGTGACTTACTATCAAATGACCTGGACGCTATTCGTGTGTATTTTTCGATTCCGTTTTGTTTTTTTTCTGAGCCTGCAGCTGGTAGTGGAATCAAACCTTGACAAGGATGCAATCAGAGGAGCCATTCAACAAGCTATTGGGCAATTGTGATTGGCATATTTTGCAAAAAGGGGTCAGGCTAATTTCAACTGTGGGTATTTTGTGAATCAATTGGTTTGTCATGCTCACCCAGAGTAAAATGTTTGTTAGAGAACGGTGGAATTATATTGACTATCCTGGTGCATGTTGCCGCATCTCATCATTTCTTTTTATTCTATGCCCTATCTCGTTTATTAGTGAATGGCACACCTCGTCCGCCTGATTCCTGGTAGTTGGAGATCTAGTGAAGCACTCTTTGGAGGAATCGCACCTCCGACAGCACCTCTGCGCCCTAGTCCGCCGCCGCGCGATCGTGTGTAGTGTGGGCCTCTGCGCACGACTTTCGGTACGAGACGAGACGCTTCGCCTCCTGAGCTCCTCCAATTTTCCGTTTGCTTCGTACTCAGCAAGACCACGGATTCAGCGTTCAGCATCAGCAGCCATGCGTCGCGCCGACGTGCTCGCGTGCCAGATCCAGAGCTGGTACCCAAAATTCCGCTCCGTCTCGCTCCGCACAGAGATCGTCCCTCTCCCGCCCGAATTCGTTGAATACCTGCTTTCTGACGGAATCTTCCTCCCTGCTTCGTGTAAGGCGGTAGGTTGCTCTGCTCACTCCCCTCCGTTCTACTCCAATCAAAGCATTAACGCCTTAGGCGCCTTAGATACAAACCCTATCGTACAAAAGGCACTACCCCGCGCGTACAAGCGTTTATTCTGGAAATGTAGGTTCGCAAGTCGTTCCGGGTTTCTTCCAGTCAAATCCCACTCAGCTGCCCTCGCTTCGCCGGCGTTATGGCTTGAGATCTGCGCACGCGCACGGGATTGAACGAGTGGAAGCTTTATGGGTTTGGGATGCGGTTTTAAGGTTTCGGGTTTCGGGGTTCGCGGTTTCGGGTTCGGGTTTCGGAGAAGACAGTATAGAAAGGAGGAAGGAGTCGTAATTTCTCCTCCTCAACCTTCTCATGGTTCCCCCACTTTGAAGAAATTTCTTTACTTCATTGCATGTGCTTGTCCTCTCTTTTCTCTCTACCCTCGTCCACTATCCCGCTTCGCTTACCCCTCTTCATTCCCTCCTCTCTCTTCACTCGTCCCTCGTCCCTCTTGTCCGTCCAGTTGCCCACGCGCACGCGGGTGGGCGAGTGGGAAGCTCATCGCGACGACTACGAGGGGATGAAGGAGGAGGAGGACGAAGCAGACGAGCCCGACGTGCCTTCCTTCCCCGCGCTCGAGGCTGCTGTTGACGCCGCTATTGCGCGGCTGGGTGGGTTTGTGCTGCCGAAACTCAACTGGAGCTGCCCTAAGGTGAGTGCTGCGGCCTGTTTGGTTCTCACCTTCCAATCCATTCTTTGTGGAAGGCACTTCAATCCCAAAACCGAGGCACCCGCTTCTCTGTCTCCCCCTCCCGTGAACTCATCCCACACCATTCTCAGGACGTGGGTTGGCTGAGTGCAACGGGCACGCCCAAGTGCTGCAATGCCCAGGAGGTCTTTCTGCTGCTCAAGGCCTCCGACTCCCTCACCTACGACCTCTGCCATGCGTATGCACTTCTGGCCCAACACACCCCTTTTGGGACGGTTGAATATGTATACACATGTATTGTATATAACATTGACCTCTGCCTTGTGCGTAAGTTGTTCCGACTTAGCACACCCTCTGGCATACTTTCAAATATTTCTAGAGTTTGCACAAGGACGGAATGTTATAGGTTGCTTGCTTTCGCTGTCCTCCTCTTGCAGTTAATCGCAAGCATATGCCATGTCTTTCTATTGCATATGTATTGCATATGGCAGCTTTGACAGTTGTATTGACTCTTCTGCAGCTGGTGGTTCTTCACATGCGGAAGCACCTTCAGTAGCCGATTGTTCCGAGACTAGCAACGGCAGGAGCAATGGCGGAGCACATGTGGTGGCTACAGGAACAGATGAGAAGCAGCAGGAGCCGACCAGGGCTGAGAGGAATGGTGGTGCAAAGCCGTGGGAAGAGCAGCACGCAGAAGAGGTGGAGCAGCATGAGTGTGCGCAGCAGAGCCGTCCGTCTGAGTTCGTTCTCGCCTTGCGCAAGTGGTTTGACCTTCGGCCAGAAATGGAGTTTCGCTGCTTTGTCAAGGCCCATCAACTCATTGGTATGTTACTCTCATAAAACTTCTTCTGTGAAAATTTTATTTCTGGATCTTATCAAATCCAGACGTCCCATTATCATACTGTCCCCTGCGCATGAAATTCCTGTTGCATAAAATCCCTGTTCCAACAGGAATCAGTCAGAGGGAGATCACATCATTCTACCCATTCTTAGTCGATTCTCGCAAAAACTTCAAGCTCCAGATATGTGACTTCTACGTCAACCGCATTTGTGGGAAATTTCCGTCTACTGACTGTAAGCACACATAATGTTTCTTCCTTAGTGATGTTAGGGTTGGTTCGCCCAACCACGGAACCTACGGTGAAATGCGGAATGGCAGCGGAATGGAGCTCGTGGGAGATTCTAGAGTGATTTCGGTAGAAATCGGCCTACGGTGGACGTTGGAAGCTAAGGCGTGAAAAGCGGGAGAGAAATCGGGAAGAAACTAGAGAAATGGAGGAAGAAGAGTGAAGAAGTATCGAGATTGGAGTTGACAAGGGGAAATTGTGGTTCGAGCTCAAGGCGTGTTCGAGAAGGTTCCAGATTCGGACTTGAGGAGTGTTCGGTGAATTCGGTTCGGTTCCGTGTGCGACTCGGGGTGAAACGAGGCGCACGCGGTTACTTGGGAAACAAGTGAAGTTACGAATCGCATTTTGTGTCTTGCTTGACTATAAAACTGCTTGTACTCATTCTGGAAAATACAACATTGAAACCATTGAGATTCTGAAAATTGCTGAAGTGTGTATTGACAACTTCAAGCAGAGCTGCGCATATCATTGGATTCGGGAGATCGTGGAGAACACGATAGGCGATAGCAAGTAGACTATTGCCGACTAAGGTGCTTACGATCCTAAGAACTGGTATCAGAGCTTGGCGAACGGGCGCGTCGATCGCAGTGAATTCACTTGGTGCGCTAAGTGAAATTAGTGGAGAAGAGGAGTCGTTCACGCCTACGCTATGGGAGACGAGGCGAGTTCGGGTTCCAGTGTGAGTCTTGGAGACCCGCAGTTGAAGGCTCTTCTCGAGGCCCTTGCGAGTGGCCGATTGGTGGCGAAACCGACGATCGGGCTCAGTGAAGCTCAGCGCTTCAATGGAAGCAACTACAACGTGTGGCGGAAGAAGTTTATTCGGAGGGCAGAGGAGGTTGACCTCTTGCCGTACTACCGTCCCGACGAGGAGACGATGGAGGGAGTTGCGCCATCCCCGACGGATACGAAGGAGAAAATAGCGGCGTTCAAAAAACAAAGTAAGCAAGCGTTCTTTCAGCTTTGTCACTCAGTTGCCGACGGAATCGCGGTGGATTTGGACCAGTTTGCAGGGGAGCTGAACTCTGCACAGCGAGCGTGGGAGTACCTGGAGTCCACGTACATGGGTACGAACGATGTCAACAAGAAGGCGATTAGGAAGCAACTGCTGATGCTGAGCATGGAGAAAGGCGAGAAAATCATCACCTACATCAACAGGGCGAAAAACTACAACGACGACTTGCGGGTGATGGGAGCCGCGGAGACGGAGCACGAGATGATTGACTATATCATCCAAGGCCTTCCTAAGGAGTGGGAATCCGACATCGGTATGTTTACGTACCAACCGCCGGAGAGTTTGACGAAGCTGCAGGAGATTCTGCAATCGCTTGAGACGGTGAAGGAGATGAGGAAAAAGAAAGCGGCAGCAGCAGCTACGGATTTCGACGAGGAGAGGCCGGCTTTGGTGAATGCAACGAAGGCGTTTGGAGCGTGCTACCAGTGTGGAAAGAGGGGGCATAAGGCGATAAACTGCTACGAAAATCCGCGAAGCAGAAACTACAAGGGCAAAGCGGTGGAGAACGAGAAAGGAGAAAATGGGGGAGCAGAGTGGCAACAGAAACGAGGTTTTGGCGGCAAGTGCGATTATTGTGGGCGCTATGGGCATCGTGCCGCAGAGTGCTACTCCAATCCGAACAGCAGGAGCTACAAGGGTCCGTCGCAGCAGAGGAATGTGGCGGCTAAGGCGAATGTAGCGGAAGCCGAAAAGGAGGATGTGATTTTGGGAGGAGCACATCTTGCGAACGTGGTGCGTTTACCGAAGGAAGCTCCACAGACGGACGATCATGAGAAGACGGCATGGTTCATGGACAGCGGATGCACGCGTCACATGACATTCAGGTCAGAATTGGAGGAGTTATCGAATGAGGCTGATAAGAGCGAGGACACGGATGATACGGGAGCAAGTGTGGAGGCAGCAGAGAAGCAGGAAGAGGAGATAGTCACCATGGAGGCAGCAGCAGTGAATGGTGGAGATGGAGATGGTGTCAACACTTTTGCAGCAGCGATCGTGGTTGAAGATGAAGCAGTAAATGCGAAGTGTGTAGGAGTCGCTGTGAAAGGGGACATCATGGTGAAAGGATCAAAGGCGAATGCAACTGCAAAGGGGCGAGTGCTTACAAAGGAGGAACACGTTGAGGGGTATGAGACCCGAGAGGTGTTGAGTGTTGAGATGCCGAGGAGAAGCGAGAGGCTCAAGAAAATGTTTCATGGATTGGATGTCAAGGCGCTCAACTTCAAGACACGTAAGGAGAGGTTCAAGGTGCAGGAGCTGCAGGGGAGTGTGAAGGCGACTTAGACCCTGTGAAGGCTACGAGGAACAGGGGAGCAGTGTGAGTGGTGTTCGTGGTTGACGAACCACATGGGAGATTGTTAGGGTTGGTTCGCCCAACCACGGAACATACGGTGAAATGCGGAATGGCGGCGGAATGGAGCTCGTGGGAGATTCTAGAGTGATTTCGGTAGAAATCGGCCTACGGTGGACGTTGGAAGCTAAGGCGTGAAAAGCGGGAGAGAAATCGGGAAGAAACTAGAGAAATGGAGGAAGAAGAGTGAAGAAGTATCGAGATTGGAGTTGACAAGAGGAAATTGTGGTTCGAGCTCAAGGCGTGTTCGAGAAGGTTCCAGATTCGGACTTGAGGAGTGTTCGGTGAATTCGGTTCGGTTCCGTGTGCGACTCGGGGTGAAACGAGGCGCACGCGGTTACTTGGGAAACAAGTGAAGTTACGAATCGCATTTTGTGTCTTGCTTGACTATAAAACTGCTTGTACTCATTCTGGAAAATACAACATTGAAACCATTGAGATTCTGAAAATTGCTGAAGTGTGTATTGACAACTTCAAGGACCGTCAGATCTACATCTGCTCGATCAACAGCCCACATTCCAACTTCCAAATCATTTAGGCCAGTTCATCCATGATTGTCAGATCAACATCTGAGTACATCAACGTGTCAGAATCTTAGCTATAACTTAGTAGCCATAGGGTACACGAAAGAGAAACGGAAGAAGAGTTTGCACTAGCAAGAGTTGGGATACAAATAGTAAACCCTAAATTGGGTTGTACTCACTACAGAGTACCCCACTGCAGGCTAGACAGCAAATACATTCTGACACAACGGCCTACATTCCAACATTTCTTCAAATTCGCCCAAGGCATTTCAGCCATCGGATTCAGCTGAAGAGGAGATCTACGGCATCCTCGATAGTTTGGGGCGTGTTTTCAGTACAAGGCTGCCTTATTTAGAAGGTGGGAGAGTCTAAGGATTTACAAATCCTTATTGAGGCACTCGTTAGCGAGGTCATCCCGAGGGTCACGCGACAAACATGTTCGGCCTAATTCGTCGCACGGAACCACCCCCGTGTCGGCCTCCACTCCAATCGCAACATCACCAAGCCATCCCTTCCCGAACCCCTCGCCTAGCTAGCCTTTCCCCTATTTAGTCGTGCCACTTTTATTGTACCGGCATTCAGTATTCAACCATTCTCATTATTCGTTATTTTGCACACTCTACAAGTTCATTAATAACAGTTTGCACCCCTGCTTAGCGCATACAAGACAGTTCCTGCCAACAGTATCTAACAGAAAACCGTTACTATTCGCGACACTCACCTAGACTACTATTACCGCCACTGTTCACATCGCGACCCTACCTTACGGCTCGGTTGGTAACCCGTGCTCCGGTCCTCCGCCTTGACAATTTCCAACCTCGGCGCCAGGCCCGTTGCGCACCCCACATTTTGCTCGTTACCGTTATCACGCTAGTTCGCTATTTGCTCATTCCTTCGCTCAAAGTATTGTTTTGCTTCGATAGTGCAATCTCCTTTCGTTGATTCAGTTGCACTCGTATTAGTAAGGAATTTTCCAACATTCCTTACCGCGCATCTCAACAGCACGTACACGACAACCCGTTTCTTCGAAAGTTACGGATAACGATGTTTCGTCGCCTCCCTACGTCACAATCCCCAAACCATGTGAGAAAAGTACGAGTGAATGCATTGACTAGGAAACAGGTGGGTACAAGTAGAAAGCCTAAAAGTGTTGTACCCCGTATTATCTACCCCACTACAGCCTACAAAGACTACAACATATAAGTTTGACACACCCCCATAGGCGAAGTGGGGGAGAACAAGAGGTCACAAGACCAGTCAAGAAGAGCAAAGCAAGCTCAGGGTGGATCATGACGTCACCACACATTCCTAGCACAAGCAAACGGCCACAAGGCCAGTTCACATGCAGAGTTATATAAGGTAGAACAAACAAAACAGTGATCACAACCTAGCAAGTGTAAGCATGCATATATATAGAGATCAGAGTAGAAGTAAAGTCAAGAAGTGAGCAAGTGAGGCCAAGTGGGGACAAGCCTAGAACAGTACTGAACCGCTGATGATCACAAGGCTGAAGTGCCTTGGTGAAGATATCAGCCGTGTTGGCCTGAGAGGCCACGTAAACAAGACGAAGCTGATCACAATCACAAGGCTGAAGTGCCTTGGTGAAGATATCAGCCGTGTTGGCCTGAGAGGCCACGTAAACAAGACGAAGCTGATCACACTGCTGCAACTCTCGAGCAAGAAAGTAGCAAAGAGCGATGTGCTTCGTTATGTGCTCCAGTCTCTGCTCGCGACACAAGGCAAGCATTGCCTTGTTGTCGACGTACAGAACTGGAGGAGAACGAGGCGCCTCACCCAGGTCGGTCAGCAGGTAGGTGAGCCAGCGTAGCTCCTGTGAGATAGAACCGGAGCCAAGGCTGAAGGTGTAACCCTGTGACGGCCGCAGCGTAGCCAAGTCGTCAACCCAAGAAGCGTCTGCGTGACCAGTAAGAACAACTGGACCCCGTCCCCCAAGCACGAGCCCCATGCCCGACGTACTGCACAAGTAGCGCATCACCCTCTTAGTTGCCTTCTAGTGCTCTGGTCGGTGGCTCCCGGGCGCAGCGTAGCGTGCCAGGATGCTAAGAGGGTAAGCGAGGTCAGGACTAGTGCAGGTCATCAGGTACATGAGGCAGCCCACAAGCTCTGGATACAGGCCACTCGGCTCTACGGACTCATCCGAAGGCAGAGCTGAGAGCGAGTGACCGGTAGGCAGAGGAGTGGACTGTGGCAACGAGTACTGGAAGTCGAAGCGCTGAAGGACCTGCTGCACCATGTGTGACTGAGTCAGGGTGATGGTGCGGTGTGCTCTGTCCCGAGTGATCTGCAAGCCAAGATAGCTGCGCAGCTCACCCAGGTCTGTGCACGTGTGTCTCTTCTACAGCTCCGACTTCACTAGAGTCAGTGCCTCAGTATCAGCAGTGGCAAAAACCAAGTCGTCAACGTACACGAGGATGTAGAATGGCGGCAGCAAAGTGTCGGTGCGTAGAAACAGTGACGGGTCAGCAATAGAAGGAGCAAACCCAAGAGCCGCAAGAGTCGTCCTCAGTGTGTCGTGCCACTCCTGAGGCGCCTGGATTAGATCGTAGACTGGCCGCCGGAAGCTCCACTGGGTACCTGGAGGGAACGACCCAGTGAAGCTAGGTGGGCAGCGCAGCCAGATCTCCTCGTGCAGGCTGCCCTATAGGAAGGCTGTGTTGAAGTCAAAAGACTGAAGCTCGTAGTCACGCTGAGCAGCGACGTGTAGCAGTACCCGAAGAGTGGACATCTTCGGGGTGGGAGAGAAGGTCTGAAAGTAGTCAACTCCCTGCCGCTGACTGAAGCCTCGAGCCACGTAACGTGCCTTGAAGACAGGCGGAGAACCCGGCGGACGCTTCACCCTGAAAATCCACATGCCATCGACAATGTTCGCCCCAGGTGGGGGAACCTCGTCGACGTAGGTGCCTGTGGACTTCCAGGAAGCCATCTCTGCATCCATGGCTGACTGCCACTGAGAGGAGTAGGGACCCTCAACCGCCTCTGCGTAAGAGCGCAGAGTCGGGATGTCTGGTGCATCCGGGTCTCCCTCAGGGGCAATCAGCATGGACACGAGAGGAGGTGAAGCAGCAGCAAAACACCGAAACTCCTCCTGCCTGTCCTCAAGGACGTCCATGCTAAGAGCACACTCACCCCCGACGGACGGAGGACGGACAGACTCAGACTCAGCAACAAGACTAGCAGCGTAGTCTAGACGACAGTGAGCAGCGAAGTCGACAAGCTCAGCAACAAGAGCAGACGCAACAGTAGACTCAAAGGAAGGGTCAGTGACAACAGTGGCCAGGAGACGCGTGACAGTAGGACTGGCGGCACGAAGGGAGTCAGACTTCGGGTCCGGACCGATAGGAAGAGAGGACGCAGGAGGAGACGGCAGAGGGACACGCTGCGGAGCAGTGGAAGGACGCAGAGCCATCTGGTGCGTGCCAGGGACAGGAGGAGGACGCTGATGCGAACCACGATGACTAGTGCGAGCAGCACGAACAGGCGACGCAGGACGAGACGCAGGCTCACGATGCTCAGCAAGACTTCTGGTCGGACCAGTGTAAGGAGAAGGAGCAGGCAGTGGGGAGGCAGGCTGTAGCTGGGACTGCGACTGGACAGGTCGTGGACACTCTAAGGAAGGAGCAGGACCAGTAGAAGGCGGGAGACCAAGAACCTGCTCAAGGAGCGGAACGAAGTACGGCCGCGGCCGCGCAGCGCCTCCAGAACTAGCAGGGACAGCACCAGCACCCCCAGTGTCAGCTCCAACTCCAGCAGCACCACCAGCTCCAGCAGCACCTCCAGCAGCTACTGTAGCGCCAACGCTAGCACCCCAAGGAGCACCGGCTCCAACAGCACCTCCAGCTCGAGCACCTCCAGTAGCTCCAACTCGAGGAGGACCACCAGAAGCCCCAGCAGCTCCAGCTCCAGCAGCACCACCAGGCCCAGCAGCTCCAGTGTCTCCAGTACGAGCACCTCCGGGACAAGCGGCTCCAGCACCCCCAGCAGCTCCAGCAGGAGCAGGACCTCCAGCGCCCGTAGCACCACCAGCTCCAGCAGCACGGCTCCAGCGCCGAGCAAACCACTCGCGTAGCTGCTGTGGAGAGAGTGGGTCCCGCTGGGACGAAGCACCCGAAGGACCTCCAGGCTCAGCACCTCCAGACACCACACGCGCAGGCTCAGCACCCTCAGGCTCTGCACCCCAAGAATCAGCGACCCCGGGCACAGCAACCCCAGGCTCAGCACCCCCAGGCTCAGCAACCCCAGGCTCCGCACCCCAGACTCTGCAACCGAAGGCTCAGTACCCCCAGGCTCAACACTGCGCATATCATTGGATTCGGGAGATCGTGGAGAACACGATAGGCGATAGCAAGTAGACTATTGCCGACTAAGGTGCTTACGATCCTAAGAAGTGACTGTAAGTCCAGGTCGTGTTTCTTGCTTTATGTTATGTAGTACGGGTTTGTGTTCCTGAAGCTCCTCTGCCTTTTGTGTGGAATTTGCTCAACTTTTGGCAGATACTTTTGATGTCTACATCACTCGTGATGGCCGTGTGAAGCTGGTTGATTTCAACACGTATGGTGGAACCACACTACCTCTTCTTTTCTCTTGGGAGGAGATAGATGGCATGCACTCAGAACGATGTGTGATGCATGAGGCGTCCAGAACCGCCAGTGACGCATCAGCTCCAGAGCAGCTGGGTAATGGAGAATCTGGCAGCTGTTCATCAGATTTAGTGGAGATGCGAATTGTGGAGTCGCGGAGTGGTGTTCAGTTGGGGTTGAGAGCTGCTAGTGGGGCCCCGTTTGATCTCCATGATAGATCAGAGGGCAGTGCCTTTGAAGAGCTTATGGAGAAGCTCAAGGTGGAGTGCACCACTGATCAGGACAGCAGTAGTGATGATGAGGATGCTGGTTAGTGTTAGTGGACAGAAGGGTGGATCTTCAATAAAGTATGCACTCAGCATGGCATTGTAACATATGCCTTTTTGATAGGGCTCCAAACATATCTAACACAAACAGCTGAATATGCCACATGCGGGCCATGTTTAGCCTTCACAACTGACGGAATATCATCTGTTGCAAGGGCGTTGAACGCATTCCTAGACTTGTTGAACTCGAGAAATTGCAGAACACCGTTGCCACAATGTCTTCTACCTGTCCAAGAACCAAAAGGGGAGCTATATTCGTCCAGTAGGCACCATTTTCGCGTGCTGACTCGGCGGTAAGCCGTACCTCTCAAACGTGAATCCCCTATGTACATGTGCGAGTGTGGATTTTCCAGTCCAGCGTTGACATAAGTCGTGAGTGAATCATTCCCCGCAATCACGTCCAAAGGTCTGCCTATACTCCTTCCGGAACAGATTTTCAGCACCCTGCCTCGATATCTCTGCATGACCAACATGACCATCTCAGACATTATATCATACTTGTTGGGAAAACACCTGCTTCGGACAAGACGTTGGAACCAACTCTTACCACGAGAACAAGATCGTTGTCAGGCGCTCTTCCGCAGCATTTCAAAATCAAGGCGAAAATTACTAGCTCACGAATTCTATAAAGCAATGTCTGTGTGTCTCTGCCCATCTTGTTAGAGCTCAGGATCAGACATCCAAGTACTAGTCGTCCAGCGCGACTTGGTCGCTTGGCATTTTAAATACTTTCATCGCAACGAGCGCTTCCATGCAGAGAATTATCCCTCGAGAGAAACAGACAGCTGTGAGGAGTTCTCAAGGTCCAGGCTGGACTAATGTCGCTTACAGGAAGGAGAAGTTCACGGGAACTCCTTGTTGCTGGCTCATGTGATCGAAGCGCAACAGCTGAGAAATGAATTGCTGGCAACCTCTGAATGTGGAACATTTCTAGGAAGCACTATTGGATGCTCCGATACATAGCAACTGTAGTGTCAATGTAATTTCTGAACTGGCTGCTCGCTCAAATGCGCAAACTTGAACGAATGCGAAATGTAATGAAATGCGAGTGTGCGTGCATCGGTTTTCTGCATTAACGAATGTCAGACCGAACACTGGGCTTGACGGTCAGCCTTGAACCTCCAGCTTGCCAATCTGCTTGGAGCAGTCACAGTGCCCTGAGGAGCGCAAGGAAGGCAGAGCCTGTCGCGGTGCGGGACCACGTCGAACCGCAAGCACCAGCCTGGAGCGGCTCCCCCATTCCCGCCATTCGGCTACCTGCTTTCCTTGAAACCTCGTTCTGTTCTTCTGTCCGGGTTTCACTGTCCACGAACACTCGGGGTTTTGATTGGCTTGACAATGGTTCCGATGGTTCCAGAGTGTTAAACGTCGGTATATCGTGGTCTTGAATCTCAGTCTTGTACTTTTTACCATATAAGTTTTACTGCATCCGTAGGAATCTGTATCTTTGTTGTATTCCCAGTGACCAAACACCAAGGTCAGCTCAGCACCAGAACCACTGAATTCGAAGGCAGCAGGTCATGTGATCACTTCATCCTGCTGTGTCGCCCACGCTTTCGAGCAACATCAGAAGCAGAGCATCACTGAGCATTCATAGCGTCCTAGTCTCCCTGAATACAGCAACTTGTCCCTCGTGGCTACCTCTACGCTGGCACACAGCTCCACTAACTGCCTCTAACACTCTCGTGGCGTGTGCTGAGTTGACACGTGGGTAGCCATCCCACTATTTTACGTTGCCTCTCCAGTTATCGTTAGCTTTGCAGTGTTGTTCAGGGATGATGTGATGGTCATAGTCGAGATAGTTCGCTAATCTGTCACGCAGAGCAAAAGTTGGTGGGTTTCCGTTGTTATTCGTCTATCGCGCCATTGGTAAGGTCCTTCTCTAAATTAGTTTTGAATGTAAGTCGAGATGGCTATTCCTCTTGCAACGGAACCTATAACATCGAGAGGACAGGAAGCAGACAGTACCTTCGTAGAGGTGTTACAGGAGCGTACTCACAGCAGCAGCCAAAAAAATCGCGATTTGCCAAGCCCGCTGCAACACTCGAGAAGCCCTCTAGTCGCAGCATCGAGACGCCAAAGGCCAGTCTTCGAAACCTTGTGCGAAAATGATCGACCCATTCTCAGCGAGCAATCAGCGAATCTGACACATCTTCAAGCCGCAAGCCACCATTTTCACCCTCATCAGCCCTTTCAACACGACCTTGCTGGACCAGCAGTCAATTCACACTCTCCCTCTGCTCGTATTGCCAACATTAGCACCGGTGGTGACAGAGCACAGGAATCCATGGTGTCATGGAGATTTACGGCATTGCCTAAGCATTCTAGAGATTCCCCACTGAATCCCGGTTTAGAGAAGCCTGAGATTCTTGATGGAAAGCGTCAGGTACGGAAGCAGCTATCTTCCAAAACCCGGACAGCCTTAGCGTCTGCGTTACCAGAGGCTAGAAGATGGTTCGGAAGGCGAGACCTCCGGCGAGTCTTGGTGCACTTCCGCATGAAGATGCTGTTGCTGATGGTGGGCCTGGTCATGGTTGGAGCATCACTAAAGTCGATTCCTTCCTTACATAAGGTACGCCGTTCGTGTACCCCACTGCTTGAGAATTCTTAAACTCTTGTTATAAACGTCAGGCGGATTTTAGGGAATACGGTCCACAGCTCTTCTCCTAGTCTTCTTTGTCGTCTTCGCCGTCTAATCCTTATTCTGGCATTCCGTATTTTGACCCCGTCGTTGCAGACAAGAGGCCTCATGAAGCTCCTTCCCTCGTCCTCCTCCGCGTTACCACTTGAACTCGCCGCCTCGTCATTATCCGAACAAGACATTGATACAAGTACAAGCAGCACTGAAAATGCTTACTTTGGAAGGAGAAAAGCAGCGGAGTCATCCGTCTTGCCAGGCTCTGCTGACAGCCTTGGGGATTCAACCCATGCTCTGCAGGCTGAGGTGAGGGTTATGGCTTCTAACGGATGGTTTGGTACGTATGTAGGCGTTCTGTGTTTGTGCAAGGATGGGTTCGGAGGAAGCACATGTACGTTGGCATGTGGATAGGAGCTCGAGCGTGTGTGGGACCAACGGCGACGAAAATCTATTGTGCGGGGTCATGAACTGCTCGGAATGTATCGTGACACGACTTGCTTCCTTCTTGACCTCGTCTCGTTGGTCAGCTGGTCCCTCAGATGTCTGAACTAATACTCTCTTTTTTTTCTTCTTCTTTTCCCAATGCTTTCTTTATCAGCGAGCCGAGCACACAACAGATTCCACGGCATCGACGTCTTCTGGAGCCTCTCCGAATTCTCATGGCGCGCCTGGAACTAGTTCCGAAACGTTGCGAAACGCGGCGAAACTTCGCGAAGCGGTTGGAACGCCTGGCGAAAGCAGCGAAATCAGTATGCTGGACGGGCCATTAGGGGAAGCGGCTCAAGCCGCAGCAGCAGTTGCAGGCGCAGCAGCAGCAGCCTCGGCAGTGATTGGTGCGGTGGGAGCGGGCGGGGGAGGAGCGGGCAGGGACGAAAGGGTGGGGGACGAATTTGTGCGAGGAGAAGAGGCGCGTTCTGGAATCAGAGCAGATTCTCCAGTCATCTCCACGCTGACTGTAGCGGCTTCTGATACGGAGCGTCTCTTGTCACCTCCTTCAGCTTCCCTGTCGTTCCCTTCTCCTTCCTCCTCCTCCTCCTCCTCCTCCTCCTCCTCCTCCTCCTCCTCCTCCTCCTCCTCCTCCTCCTCCTCCTCCTCCTCCTCCTCCTCCTCCTCGCTTCTCCTGTCGTCCGCGATTGGCGCCGTATGGACGTCTGGGTTCAACGCGTCGGGGTCGCACGCTCCGCGACGGACGTCGGAAAAGCTCCTGTGGAGAAGTCCCACAGTGGAGCACATAGAGCAGTGCATCGCACGCTCCAAGACGCACAAAGGTAGGCCACATAGAGCAGTGGAGATCCGGAGAACTTGCTGTAAGATTCCCTATCACTGGTGGTGTGTATGAGGGACCAAAATCGATTGCCCTCAAAGAGACGATGGGAAATTCCTGAGAGATGCTACTTGTTCCCCTCCCCTGCTGCTCCCGCCCTTCCCAGTCCCCGCCAAGTCAGCAACGAATGGCTACCTTTTGGTGACGGCGAATGGGGGTCTGAACCAAATGCGAGCTGCGGTGAGTGCTCATTTCGAACCAACATGATCAGCTCTCAGAGCTCCCATGATACAAGGATGTTTCCATGCAGCTCTCATGAAATAAACATGGACATTCCAGTCAGTCCTGTTGTTGCGATGACAGCTGCTTTACAGTTCAGGCTGTTTGCTGCGTGCTGCTTGCTCCTACTCTTATCTATTCCCACTGTACCGAATGCCTATCCCACACACAGATCTGTGACATGGTGGCAGTGGCTCGCATCATGAATGCCACACTTGTGGTGCCGGAGCTGGACCACACCTCCTTCTGGTCCGACCCCAGGTATGCAATTTATGGTTGTGGCGGTGTGGAGCTAAACCACCCCTCACTCTTGTCGGACCCCAGGTATGTGTATGCCGCACAGATAATAACATGCACAGGTATACAACCACTAATTCCTTGTGGTGCCGGAGCTGGACCACACCTCCTTCTGGTCCGACCCCGGGTATGAGGTTACTGGGTTTCCTCAACTCTCCCCTGCACCCTCCCCTTTGTGGCACGTTAATGAGATCACAGGAACATGTTCGATTCAAACAAACTTCATTGCCTCCCTCCAGGATGACATCCCCCTCGTTTTCCTCACCCTTTCTCTTCATCTTTTCACACCCCTCCCTTCTCCCTGCTCTTCTCCTTACCGATCTGCCACGTCAGCGAGTTCGAGGACATATTCGACCTGGAACACTTTGTGGCCACGCTCAAGGACGACTTCTCTTGTGGCCTCCCTGTTTCGCCCAACATTTCCCCCCTCCCACTCCCTCTTCCGCCCCCGCACCCCTCCCCAGCGAGTTTGAGGATATATTCGACCTCGACCACTTCGTGGCGACGCTCAAGGACGACATCCGCGTGGTCAGGGAGCTGCCCCGCAGAGTGGCCCACCGCCGCGTGCTCGAAAAGTTCCCCATCTCCTGGTCGCCGGTGAGTGCGTGCGTGATCATAGCGTGAGAATAGTCTCTTCCAATCAGTGCCTTCGGGTGATGCATTCCTCATTGACTCAGGTCTGCTCATCCCTTTTATGCTCTACAAGAATCCCCCCTCCTTCCCACCCCTTACCCGAACATTCAACGCCTGTTCCTACTTCCATGAGGACCTTCTGACCCGTTTCGCCCTGTCATCCCCCCTCCGCCCCTCTTCCCCCAGTTCTCCTACTACCGTGAGGACCTTCTCCTGCGCCTCAAGAAGCACTGGGTGATGCGCTTCCCCGTGACGACTCGCCCCGTCATTCTCCCTCCACTCCTCTTCCCCCCTCCCCCAGTTCTCCTACTACCGAGAGGACCTTCTCCTGCGCCTCAAGAAGCACCGGGTGATGCGGTTCCCCCTGACGGACTCGCGGCTGGCCAACAACGGCATGCCCGAGTCCATCCAGCGGCTGCGTTGCCGGGCCAACTACCGCGCCCTGCGCTACACCAACACCATCTCCCGCGTTGCTGAGAACCTGGTGGCCCGTATGCGCAAGCTCGGGCCCTACATCGCCCTGCACCTGAGGTGCGTACTTGCATTGCACTGGTAGGGAGCACACGGTAGGGAAGGAAACCAGGGGAGTAGGTGATTAGGTTTCCCCCTGACGGACTCGCGGCTGGCCAACAACGGCATGCCCGAGTCCATCCAGCTGCCGAGCCAACTACCGCGCCCTGCGCTATACTGATACCATCTCCCCGTGTCGCTGGCAATCTAGTCGCCCGGTTGAGGAAGCTCGGGCCCTACATCGCTCTGCACCTGAGGTGAGGAGATAGGGTGTCGGGTTCAGGGGTTGACATGACATGACACCGCTGATGCCGGGCCAACTACCGCGCCCTGCACTACACAGACACCATCTCCCTTGATCGCTTGAGTCTGATCGCTCGCTTGAGGAAGCTCGGGCCCTAAATCGCTCTGCACCTGAGGTGTGTGCTTGGGTGGGGTTGTTCTCAGGATATGCAAACAGCTACAGCATGCACTGAAGTGGTAGAGAGCACGGCAGAGAGGGAAGAAAATCAGGGAGAATCAACCCTTGCTGATCTCCCCCCCTCCTCCCCCATCCCCGTCCTTCCTTTTTCCTCACAGGTATGAGAAGGACATGCTGGCGTTCACAGGGTGCGACCACGGGCTGAATGTTGATTGCCCATTCCCTCTTCTCCTCCTTCTCCCCTCTCACTCCCACGTTCCTCACTACCTATTACCATGTACGAGAAGGACATGCTGGCGTTCACAGGGTGCGACCACGGGCTGAGCCGTGATATGAAAAGGACATGCTAGCCGTGAGGGCGACTCAGAGATAACACTTGCTGATTCCCTTCCCCCCCCTTCCGCACAGATATGAGAAGGACATGCTGGCATTCACAGGGTGCGACCACGGGCTGAGCCGTGATATGAAAAGGACATGCTAGCCTCAGAGATAACCCTTGCTGATTTCTTTCCCCCCCTTCCGTCCAGGTACGAGAAGGACATGCTGGCGTTCACAGGGTGCGACCACGGGCTGATTCGCTTGTTGATTCCCTCCCCCCCCTCCCTCCTAACAGATATGAGAAGGACATGCTGGCATTCACAGGGTGCGACCACGGGCTGAGCCGGTGGGAGAGTGGGGAGCTGAGGGCGATGCGGCTGAACAACTCGCGGTGGAAGGAGAAGGACATCGACGGGGAGGCGCGGCGCAAGGAGGGCGCGTGCCCCCTCACGCCCAAGGAGACCGCTCTGTTCCTGCATGCCATGGGGTTTCCTAAGAAGACGTTGATTTACATTGCTGCTGGGGACATCTACGGCTCTAAAGGCCTCACGGTGAGTGAGGAGAACATCTGGCATGGCTTGCTGACAACATTCTCGTTTGAAAGTCCTCAGTGGTAGGGGAGAGTGACGTATTTATTGGCTCCTTCTCACGCCCATCCGTTTCCTTTCCTGGCGTTTGTTCCCTGCTGCTCATCCCCTCCAATGCATTTTCGCTCCCATCCATGTGTCTTCTTTAGTGCCCACTTTCCCCTCGTCAGGAGCTGATGCGGTACTGACCCAACACATCCACTCACTCACTTCAACACCCCTCGTCAGTGTCGTCAACTCCCCCGCAATTCACTCCCCCCTCTTCCCTTTTCTCCCACTCGCATCCTCCCCATTCAACCCCGCGCCAGGAGCTGAAGCGGTACTACCCCAACACGTTCACGCACTCCACTCTGGCCACCCCAGAGGAGCTGGCGGCGCTGGGGGGGTATCAGAACAGGCTGGCAGCTGTGGACTACACAGTGGCTGTGGAGAGTACCGCTTGAACTGGACTACACAGTAGCAGCAGTGGAGAATTATTTGCTTAGTGGCTCTCGCCCAAACCCATCCTCCCCCTTTCCTGCCTTCCTGCCCTCCTTCTCAACCCCTCTTCAACATCTACCCCCCACCAGGAGCTAAAGAGGTACTACCCCAACACGTTCACACACTCAACTCTAGCCACCCCAGAGGAGCTGGCGGCGCTGGGGGGGTATCAGAACAGGCTGGCAGCAGTGGACTACACAGTGGCTGTTGAGAGTGACGTGTTTGCGTACACATATGAGGGCAACATGGCCCGCGCCGTGCAGGGGCACCGGCGGTTTGAAGGGCACAGGAAGACAATCATCCCCGACAGGTGAGGAGGCAGGAGGCTTTGTTGAGGGCCTGCTACGCCTGCTGATAGCTTAAACGGAGGGAGGGAGGTGAGTGAGATTGAGTGGAAGGCAGGCATGATCCTGTCTGGACGCCCGGACAAGTTAATGATCAGCACTGGGGGGGTATCAGAACAGTCTGGCAGCAGTGGACTACACAGTGTCCGTGGAGAGTGACGTGTTTGCGTACACGTATGAGGGCAACATGGCCCGAGCAGTGCAGGGGCACCGGCGGTTTGAAGGCCACAGGAAGACAATTATCCCAGACAGGTGAGGGCAAGAAGATGAAAAGTGGAGGGTGGTGTGTTTGCATACACAGAGGGGAATGGTCGTGCAGGCACACCAGCGGTTGGAAAGACATAGGGAGATGATCATCTCTGAGAGGTGCGGGCAACAAGGCAGTGGAGGGTGATGTGTATTCACGTGCAAGGGCACAGGATGTTTGACTCTTCCAATCCCCTCCCTACTGCGCAAGCACCAACCCCTGATGCTTTCTCCAACCCCTTCATAACATTTCTTCCCGCCCTCCGTATTCCCCCTACCGGGGAGATGGTGGTATGGATGCTAGACTGTTCAAGGCGGAATGTGGTGTGCAAGGAGATCTGGAAGCAGCACAAGGGGTGCGTGGGGGACCCTCACCAGCGGATAGACCAGTTCAATTTCCTTGTCATGCTCTGTTCCCCAACATATATTCCCCCCATTCAGGGAGGCGGTGGTTCGGCTGCTAGACCAGTTCAAGGCGGGCGAGATGAGCTGGAACGTGGTGCGCAAGGAAATACGGAAGCAGCACAAGGGGCGCCTGGGCGGCCCGCACCAGCGGGAGGCTGGGGAGAACCCGAAGCTGGAGGAGAACTTCTATGCGAACCCCATGCCGGGGTGTATGTGCGAGGTGGAGAGGCAACCAGGCAAGGCGGTCAAGGCGTGCCGGATGGAGGGCGGGCAGAGGAAGTGCAGGGATGTGCCCCAGGAGGAGGAGGCGTACATTTAGTGCAGCTGCATGCGGGTGAACGTTCAGCTGTGGGAGGCCTGGTTGGGGAGACTCAAGCAACGTGTAGGATAAACTGATGGGTTGTAGAGGGGATAGATGGGGTAGAGGGGTTTCTGGTCGGTACGGTATGGGTGGGGGGCTTGGGATGAGTTGCGGTCAGGGATGCAGATGGTTCACAAAACGATTCGTGATGAGTGAGTTTACTAGCCAATTGGGGTCCCAGCCAAGAGCCTGAAGCTCCTGAACAGTGGAAACTCACGAGGGGATTGGGCTATGTGGCATGACCTTGGGAGCAGGAAGATTAACCTGGGGGCCTGAGTTTCTGTCACGTTGAGAGTTGGAGGCAATGGAGTGGTGGTGCTCCAGGTGTAGCTAACTGGCTGGTTGGCTGGCAAGGGCTGGCTCTACCGTAAGTGGATGAGACACAACCAAAGTTCCAACCATATAAGTACTGAAGTAGTTCCAAATGAGCACTTTCACCTTTGCCTTTGATCCCTGAACGACAGATGATGCCACAAAGCTGTAGCGCTTGAGTTTACCGCGCTTGAGTTTACCACCCTGCTGAGTTGTGATGTTTTTCCATGGTCCCACTTGATCCGCCAAATATTTGCCACCAAGGCATGGCACGTTTGGCCATAAGGTAGCACCTGGTAGTAAGGAAAAGCCCCCCCGACCGAATGTTGTCCAAGCGGAACTTAGTCACAAAGTAGTAAGCTTTTTTTGGAGTCCTGCCCAACAGATAAGGGAAAAAGAAGAGAGGACCACCAATCAGCACCCCGTGGTGCTGCAGTGGATCGCGGAGGCATGGGATCAAGTCCCCAAGAAGGTCATCATTGAAGCGTTCCGCCACTGTGGGATTTCAAGCAAGCTGGACGGGACGGAGAACCACCTGGTGATGTCTCACCTGTGCGCCAGGAGCACCACCGATGTCTCCGAGGACATGTGCCTCGGGGGAACCACGGGCGACAACACGCGCCTGCTTGGGCAGGCTCCAGAGGAGGAGGAGGACAAGATGCAGGCGGAGGGCATGAGGGAGGTGGCAGTGGCCTCCGGCCTGGATGTGTTGTTCCAGGAGACCCCCAACTACCGTGTGTCAGAATATTATGCTCTAGCCTGTAGTGGGGTGCTCTATAGTGAGTACAACTCTTCTAGGGTTTGCTATTTGTATCCTCATTCTTGCTAGTGCAACTCCTCCTTCTTTGCCTAAACTGTTTCTTGCCTAGCTAGGGCTTTCCTAGCTATGGCGCCTTCTTCTACTGCTCATCTTCACATGGTATTAGAGCGATATGCTCCTGGCCTGTGGGCCCCACCTCACTGCTTCTGCTGCTACTGCTACTCTCTGTGTTGCACGCCCCGTGGCGTGCAACGGATTTTTCATCCCGCCACGCGCTCGGAGCGTGCGGCGGTTTTCTGCCCGACGTGCGCCCCGAGGCGCGCGGCGGTTTTTTGCCCGCCGTGCGCCCCGAGGCGCGCGGCGGTTCTCTGCCCGCCGTGCGCCCCGAGGCGCGCGGCGGGTTTCTGCCCCGTCACTCGGCGCGTCGCCCCCAGGAGGCGCTACGACGGGCGACGGGGACCCGCGCGTCGCCCCCCGTCGCCCGTCGTGGCCTGCGCGCGGCCCGTACAGCCGGCGCGCGGCCCGTACGGGCTGCGCCAGGCCCGCGCGCGGCCCGTACGGGCTGCGCCAGGCCCGCGCGCGGCTCGGGCCGCCTGCGCGCGGTTCGGGAGGCTGTGCCAGGCCCGTGGGCGGCCCGTTCTTCGCTGCCCCTGTTCTCCCCGCTGTCCCCCGTGCTTCTGAAGGCGCCCCACCCCTCCTTCTGCCCGTTCTCCTGGATTAGGGTTTGGGGGTGGGGGGTATGGGGGTGCAGCTTCTGCGTGCCGTTCCCTCCTCCTCCTCCTCCTTCGTCTCCCACTGCTGCAGCTCTCGCTGAGGGGGGTGGATGTGTGGGAGTCTGGGGTTTAGGGTTTAAGGGGGTGCTGTGGGTGTAGGGCTAGGGTTTGAGCAGGGGGTGTGTGAGAAGGGCGTTAGGCAGCTGGGGAGGTCGAGTGGAGGCAGCAGTCTTGTCGTCAGCAGCAGCAGCAGTCCGGAGGCTACAATCTCCGGTAGTCGCCAGTCGCCCGTGAGTCCGTTGCTCGTCTGCCGCTACTTTTAGCCGCGGGGCCAGTTACCCCAGTAGTCCGGAGCGCTGTTCCGGTAGCCACTGAGCCAGCAGCTCGTCTGTGTGTCTGCAGCGTCAGCAGTCGCCTCCCATCTTCTCTCCCCCACAGTCTCTCCTCCTCCTCACTTGCCCTCTGTGATTAGCTCTAGCCTTATTTACCTATTGTGAACTCTTGCTTCCTGAACTTGTGCTCAGAATGTGTGGTGACATTGTGATCCACCCTGAGCTTGTTCTGCTTTGCTTGCTCTGCTGATTACACCCCACTTTGGCTATGGGGGTGTGTCAGAATATTATGCTCTAGCCTGTAGTGGGGTGCTCTATAGCGAGTACAACTCTTCTAGGGTTTGCTATTTGTATCCTCATTCTTGCTAGTGCAACTCCTCCTTCTTTGCCTAAACTGTTTCTTGCCTAGCTAGGGCTTTCCTAGCTATGGCGCCTTCTTCTACTGCTCATCTTCACACCGTGGAGCGGCGGCTGAGGCTGACCGCATGATCGAGCCTAGGGAGACGGCTAGGCATGCCTGGCGAGTGCTAGATGTCAGAACATTATACCTTATACATTTGTGTAGGCTGTAGTGGGTTAGCCCATCAGGGGTACAACCCAATTAGGGTTAGTACTTGTACCCAACTGTTTGCTAGTTCATTCATTCTCATTCTTGCTGCGAGTACTCCCCTAGGCCCGTCGCTCCTAGCCTTCGTGACCCGTCGGCCCCTAGCCCCGCGCCCGGCCCGTTCCTAGTCCGCGCCCGGCCCGTACCTAGCCCGCGACCGGCCCGTACCTAGCCCGCGCCCGGCCCCGTCTCTCGCCCGCGCCCGGCCCGTACCTAGCCCGCGATCGCCCCGTTCCTAGCCCCGCGCCCGGCCCGTCTCTCGCCCGCGCCCGGCCCGTTCCTAGCCCCGCGCTCGGCCCGTCTCTCGCCCGCGCCCGGCCTGTCTCTCGCCCGCGCCCGGCTCGTTCCTAGCCCCGCGCCCGGCCCGTCTCTCGCCCGCGCCCGGCCCGTCTCTCGCCCTCGCCCGGCCCGTTCCTAGCCCCGCGCAAGGCCCGTCTCTCGCCTGTGCCCGGCCCGTACCTAACCCAACGCCCGGCCCGTACCTAGCCCGCGCCCGGCCCCGTCTCATGCCCGCATCCGGCCCGTACCTAGCCCGCGATCGGCCCGTACCTAGCCCGCGACCCGCCCGTACCTCGCCCAGCGCCCGGTCCGTCTCTCGCCCGCGCCCGGCCCGTACCTAGCCCGCGACCGGCCCGTAGCTAGCCCAACGCCCGGCCCGTACCTAGCCCGCGCCCGGCCCCGTCTCACGCCCGCGCCTGGCCCGTACCTAGCCCGCGATCGGCCCGTACCTAGCCCGTAATCCGCCCGTACCTAGCCCCGCCCGGCCCAGTACCTCACCCAGCGCCCGGCCCCGTTCCTCGCCCAGCGCTCGGCCCCGTACCTAGCCCGCACCCGGCCCGGTCCCTAGCCCCGCTCGGCCCCGTACCTAGCCCAGCGCCCGGCCCCAACCCTAGCCCGCGCCCGGCCCCACCCCTCGCCCAGCGCCCGGCCCCGTACCTAGCCTGCGCTCGGCCCGGTCCCTAGCCCCGCCCGGCCCCGTACCTAGCCCGCGCCCGGCCCCGTACCTAGCCCAACGCTCGGCCCAGTACCTAGCCCAATGCTCGGCCCGGTACCTAGCTACTGCTACAGCTACAGCTACGGCCCGGTACTGTCACTGCTGCTACTGCTACAGCTGCTACTGCTGCTCCTACTGCTATCCTGCGTGCTGCACAGCTATGGCTTCGCTTCGGGTTCTAGCGTTTGATCATGAGGGCAGACCCGTTCAGTTTGACACGTGGCTAGACAATCTGCAGCTGTACCTTCTGAGCGATTCTAAGGACAGTGTCTCGCTGTTTGACCTAGCGTCAGGCCCTGCTACTGCCCCTCCCGATACAGCTGACAGCTCGACTCGCTCACAGTGGCTTACTCGTGACGCTGCTGCCCACTTAGCCATTCGCAACCACCTGCCATTAGCTGAATGCGCTCACTTCGGACAGCACAGGACAGCGCAGGCACTGTACGACGCTGTAGTCGCTCGCTACTCCTCCCCTGCCACTGCTGCTCTAGGCCGCCTCCTTTTGCCCTACCTGTTCCCCGAGCTGTCCGCCTTTACCACAGTCGAGGACCTTGTTTCCCACCTTCGCGCTAGTGACGCTCGCTACCGCGCTGCCGTTCCTGCTGAGTTCCTTGACAGGAACCCGCCCCCGATGTACATCACTCTCTACTTTATAGTCACCCGCCTCCCTGACTCTCTTCGCTCTGTCAGGGACCACTTCCTCTCTCTTGACCCCACCTCCCTCACTGTTGACCTCCTCGAGCAGCACCTCCTCGCAGCTGAGACTAGTGCAGTTGCTGAAGGTGCTGCTCGTGGCACTCCGCGCCCGCCCTTCTTTGAGGGGTGCTCCCCCTCTCCCCTTGCCCCCTCCTACGCCTCTGCTGCTGCTGCTGACGTCTCTGTTCCTGAGGACGTCGGGGCTGCTTCTGCTAGTGCGAAGCGCCGCAGTAGTAAGGGCAAGGGTGGCAGGGGTGGTGGAGGTGGCAGCAGCGGTGGTGGAGGTGGCAGCGGGAGTGGTGGTGGGGGTAGCAGTGGAGGTGGTAGCGGCGGTGGGACTGTTGGTGGGAGTGGGGGCTCTGGTGGCGGTGGTGGAGGCAGCAGTGGGAGTGGCGGCAGTGGAGGCGGTGGGTCTCGTAGCGGTGGGACTGGCGCTCAGCGTGTCGGTACTGTGGGTGGCCAGCGTCAGCAGCAGCAGCGTCGGAGCGAGACCCCGTCCCCTCAGCAGCTTCGTGAGTGGTTTCTGCGTGGGGCGTCTGGGGGT